ATGGTCTGCGTTTTATCAGTTTTCGTTTTTCATTTCAAGTCTGCTATGGGTGCCATGGTCTGCGTTCTATACGTTTTCGTTGTTTTTTCATTCCAATTTCAATTCTGCTAATGGGTGCTACTAGTATGGTCTGCGTTCTTGAATATGATTGTTTTTTCATGCAGGTTTGCTATGGTCTGCTCAATGCCTCAAGGGAGCTATTCTAAGACGTTTTAAGCTGTTGAAAGGTGTTCAACGATGTTCAGCGTTCTTGGTGGATGGAGAGGGAATGATATGATATATTCATACAAGTGGCATTGGTCACCAGCATCCAGCGGCCGACTTGGGCAAGCGTTTTGCGTGGCTATCTACGGCTATCTTTGGTCCCTCTTCTGTCCAACGTCGATCTGAAACGGTCTGAATGGCTTTGTCGGTGTCCCAGGCTGTGTCTCATCCTCTTTCCTTTACAACTGGAACACCATGGCACATGCCAGGCCCAAGGCCGCCGGAGGATGTGCTTGGTGCCACCTGCCGAATCGGATAAAGCATCTCCTCTCCCACAAGAATGCTCAGGAAGAAGACCAAAAACACTATGAACATATGCAGCATGGGATTGGTCCTTTCTCCCAGAATGTCCCATGTCTTCTTGTAATAATATGTCCACCCAAATGACTCTGCTCTCTCCATCCTGGCTGAGCGCTGGCATGTAGGAGCCAAAACACGAATCGAGCCTGGGCCATATGAACGCAAACATGCAGGTAATTAGAGTGCTTTTCGGTGGAGGATTGTCTTCTTACAATGGTATCATCAAGCAGCCAGATAGATAGATAGATAGATAGATCGATAGATAGATAGATAGATAGAGAGAGAGACAGACAAACAAACAAACAGACGGACAGACAAACAAACAGACAGACAGATAGGCAAACAAACAAACAGAATCAGTTTCCCTGCTTTTCCTATACTCTTGATCGTTGGTCACCTGACTTGGCGCAGGCAGCAAGCAGTCGGCCCAGAAAAGGCTCCCCTCCGTGCAGGTTCTCGCCTCAGTGTTTAAGCTCTCCCCATGTTCGGGGGATGAGCTCTGCGCGAGCTTCAGCAAGCAGTCGGCCAAAAAGTGCATCACCTTGGGCCGATCAGATCAAACCAAGAGAGGTTAAGTGACCTTATAGGACCTTACTGGGGTACCTATTGGGATAGTCTATAGGGTTCTTCAACCTCTGGTGGAAATAGAAGGAATGATCCATAATTAATAAGGAATGACTCGGAATGACCATGAATGACCCATATAATAGTTATAGTTTGAGTATATCCCATTACCAGGGCCCAGTGGATGATGATGGTTGGTTTGCAGGCCGACATCTCTTTCCAATGGGTGATTTGCTTGTGAAACCCGACTGTTACAGGTCCCTGGGACAGACCCCAGGACCATAGTGATATCTCCATCATGTGGCACAAGCCTCTGTTGCCACATGTGGCTTTCCAGGTCCGGTTCGTCCGATCACGATCTGCTACGTCTGCAGCTGCCACCGTCCGGTCCTCACGGGGTCTTGACGGGGTCAGACCTGACCTGCACTGAGGCCTTGGCATAGGGATCTGCCAGCACAAAGGGGATAGCTATCTGCATCGCTATGTCTGTCTGGTATTTGGCCTTCGCATCTTGATCCTGGCGGACATCGACGGGCTCGGAAACCGGAAACACAGCTGGAAGAGGTTACGTGCACAAGCCGAGTCAAGCCCCACCTTCGTGTGCAGCAGCTCTGTCAATGCGGCTTGGATTCCCTGGAAGTCCTGCGCTGGAGCATGTCCACTTGGAAAATCCGACCGTGCGCTTTGAACCTTCTTTCATCTGATCCTTTTGGCAAGCATTCCACACACACACACACTTGAAGTAGCCAGCAAACTCCAAACAGGGATAGTTGCTAAGGTTGGTCTCCCTGACTAACCACTCAGCGATCATATCTGATAAATGACCACTGACCACACCTCTCTCCACACCATTCATTCCAGCCGCCACGCCTTTGCATTGATCCCTTGTGTTTCTTGTAGCTTTCCCTGCAGAGACAAACTGACGAAGGAGTCTAAGGAGGACAAGGCTCCCTCGTCTCCCCGTGACAGTCCGAGGCTTCACCGAAAATCACTGCGCCGCACCAAAGAAACACACGTCGACGGTAGCACAGCCAGACTTGACTCATTCGTCTCATGCGCCGAAATCCTGGTGAAGACGAAGCTTCCAAACTCATGCCCATCTAAACGTTCCTGCCCAAAACCAACCGCGCACCATCTCCAAAACCAAGCGCGTCATCTCGTCCCACTCAATGTACTGATTGTCCACGAAAGGCACACGGCCTCAGCCAAAACCGTGTCCACTCAAACGGTTGTTGGGGTCGCGTGACGCCCGATTTGAGTTCCATGGTCAAAGGCTCAGAGGGAGTCCACTGAGATCTGGAGACGATCTCAGGAGATTTCCCAATATGACAAACAATCACTGCCTGCCGAGGTCTGCCACAAATCCCAGAATGATGACAAACACAACTGATATTATAGTTTATAAATGTTTATAAGTTATAAGTTCCGAGTTCCTTTTTTGATGATGTTGTTGTTGTTATGAATATGATGATCCATTGATACCATGACCATCGCAGCTTCGCGCTTGGTTCGCTCGGCCTCGACGCTGCGCGGTGAAGGTGCCACGGATGGAGGTCACATCCTCCAGGATGCTCTCGGTGGAGACCTTCTCGGACCTCAGTCATGCTCTCAAATCGGTCTTGGATAGGTCTAGAGTCTAGAATATAGGTCACCAGAACTTATATAGGTCTTGGATCGGACCTCAGATATAGAACTTTATATAGGTCTGAGAAGGTTTCGGATAGGTTCCCACCAGCATCATCTGAGAAACCTGGTTTCCACCCCTGCGAGCAATCTGCACAGTGGTCCGGTTTTCTGGCTCCGGCCGCTTCAAATCATTTCTGGGAGATCGCAGCTTGCGCGAGGTCCCTGAGGTGCTTTGGGGGGTGAAAGAAGCTCAAAGTTGGAATTGCCTGTCACCCCACGGACTTGTGGTTTCAGGATCGCTGCTGAGGGCCACACTTAGTTTCCCAGCATCCGTTCATCAACTGCCGACGGTCCTTGGCGGAGGGCAGTTGAGCGCGTGGATGCCAGAAGGCATAGGTCATCTGGGCTCAAACCACTTGGGTACAGGGGAAGACTATTGCAGAAACTCTGCTCCTCCCTTTGCGGACGTTCGTCCGCCTACTATGAATGGTATAGCTTTTAGAGGTCCACTCGTATGGCAGGATGTTGGCAACAGCTCCTTCGCCTAACCGCAACACCAAGTTCTGTTGGCAAAGCCGCAAGACACAACGAAGAACAGGAACTGCAACATACTGTCCAAGTCCCCCGAAGAGACAAAAAAGAAACCTAAACAAGCCAACAAACTGCTTCTGATGTGATCTATCTAGATAGATATATATATATATATATCCCCCTTACTTGATACATTCAGGTGGCGTATGTAAAGAGGGTATATATAAGTGTATATATATATATATAACAACCTCGGCAGAGAAAAAAAAAAAAAAAAAAAAAAAAACAAAACAACCGCTGGCTTCAGCTCTGTGCGCCCGACGGTCGACACATCGCAGTGGCAATCATATACCTGGCGCAGAAAGCGTGGCGCAAAGCGTGGCTTGGTGTGTGTGTGCACAGCAAAGACAGCGTGGCAAGACACCGAAGATACAAACACGTACACAAACATACGCTTACAGTAATTCCGTGCTTGCCTACTTACAAACTTTCGCATCACCTGGCAACTATGCCAGATTTGCCATGCCACCCTTGGCCAACTGCTTGAAGGTCAACCGGTTTCCGTCCAAATGGGCTCTCACGGAATGCCCGCCATCCAACTCCTCAGCTACGCTCTTCAGTCAAATTACATCAAAGCAACTTCTACCAACTCTGCTCACACTTTCGAGGAAATGGTCCATTGTGGTCCATCAACAAATTGAAGAATCTTGAAGATAGTCTAAGAGTAAATCGAACACATGGTTGTTGCTTGCATGGAGACAAGGGTCAGATCTGCCAATGAGGTTGCCGCCATAGCCTGCTTCCTGAGCGGCACAAACCAACCGAATGGACCTTGCATTGTAGATGAAGAATCGAGGGAGAGGGTCAAAGCCAAAGTTCAGCATGACCCACCAATCTCAGGTCCGAGATGAAGAGGATTAATGATCAGTAAAGTAATAACATATACAAAAAGAAGAAATCCACCACTCTGAGCCACTCTGGCAGGCTCAATCCTATCATCACAACAACCCTCTGCCACCTTTTCCAACTCTGCAGGGCCACTGTGCAGGGCTCTGCTGGGCCAACTGCCTCGCGGCGCAGCGAACTTCGAGTGGGATGTGCCAAGTGATGCCAGGTGTCATGCTTCCATGGAGGGCAATGACTTCATCATGGAGTCAATCAGTCTTGGCTGCAGAGTTGAAGTCCAGCCATGTTTCCTCAAGCATGGGTCCGTCTCGGTAGGTCTTGTAAAGATACTTCACGATGTCAGCACTCTCCAAAAGTTCGGTGCCAGTATTGGGATCCCTTAGGAACGGCATTTGTACGGCTCCCAGTGCGCGGCGGGCTGGGGACAAGAGATGTCCGTACTTCTCCCGGAATTCTGCTCGGTTCTGCAACTCTCCGTGTGGAACCTGACGTAGTACCTTAAGAGGCTTGGACACATGGACGAGGGGGTCGTCGGATTGCAATGCGGCTGAAACCAATGGAGCTCCGTGAATTGAAGGCTGAACAGTAAATGATCCCCGTAGTATCCCTGTAGTCTGTTGACTACCTATCATCCTTCGAACCAATAAGAACCCCCAGAAAAATCGAATCTGATTGCCCACGGGCGGCGTATGGCAACTCGAGGCAGCACAGCGCTTCTCGCACCAACCGGACGAAGGGTGACGACTCGCATCCCCAAAGCTCCAAGGGCGACTCGGGCGCCACGCTCGGCACTCGCAGCAGTCCGTGTGTCACCAGGGGCCGGAGCAGTGTCGGGAAGAAGATCAGGGGCTTCACAAAGAGCTTCCTGAGTCTGGCGAGCGAGCGCGAGATTCTTGGTCTTGGTTGAGCTAGGTCGCGAGATTCTTGGGGGAGGGCAGAACCCAGTGAAAATGGAGCCGATGGAATGAAATGCCCACTGACAAGAGGAATAACAGTTTTGGATTAGAAGATGAAAAGTGTCTTGCTAGTTTTTGAACGCATGTTGTTGCACCAGTGCTGATGGTAAAATTGTGCTGGAACAGCAGCCGAAGGGCTCGCCAAGCCAGTATGTCCAAGGCACCTCAGCTTGGGCACCATAAGTCTTCCATAAATACTTATTGATCTCGGCCGACTCGTACATCTGTACTCCGGTGTTTTCATCCACGAGGAACGGGAAGAGCTCCTTCCCTCCAAGCTTGGCAACTTCAGGTCCTTGGTCAAGCTTCAGGCCGAAGTTTCATTCATCCGGGATCATCCGGGTCCCATGTGGCACTGATCACAACACATCAATAATACTATATATATATTTTATGTATATATAAATATATACTCAATACATATATCAAATCATATCAAGACTTTGATGGTAACTGCTTCTTCCTTTTCTTCCTTCTCCTTCGATTCTGCACATACCCCCCCCACCATATCTCCTATGCAGGTCCGCCACCGACGTCAAGTCACTGAAGCGCGATGTCTGGGGGCCCCCAGCGGCTTTCAGTGTCCCCTTGGGACAGGGATACACCACCAGGTCCAACGCCAAGACCGAGGCAGTTTCACGCACACGGCGACAGAAGGGGCAGCCTTCAAACCTCGAATGTCATGGGCTTTCTTGAACCTCATCTGAACATATCTGAACATTCTATAAGATGTTGGGGGGCTCCTTGATGAGCCCTTCCGTTTCGTTTTTGGATCTGCAATGATCCAAACTCATTTCTTTGACGCTGTTTGTTGCGTTTCCCACCGCCAAGGAGACTTTGGAGCCAGGCTTGGTGCTCCAACAACTCGGGTTGTGTGGAGCATCACCGGGCTCGCAAACAGGGCATCAATCAAACGGAGATCGGCAAACACACATATCAACGAAGCAGGGGACAAAAAGAAGAAACTATAGAATCTATAGATAGACAAGACATGCAACGCCATTGGATTCTGGTATGATTCTTGTATGATCTTGTAGATCATGAAACCAATATGAAACCCACCTTGTCAGTGAAGTCCTATGTGCCCATGCCCCCATGTGGGCCATTCTTTTAACGTCGCTGAGGTCGAGGGACTCGTAGAGGATGAGCCTTTTGCTGGGCCTGGAGCACTTCTCGACCGCTCCGGCCACCCAGCCTCCGCTGAAGCAGCGCGTCAAGCCAGATAAGGCTGATGAGCCCAGGTCTACCAGTCTAGATGCAACAGGCAAACGCTGAGTAGCCTCGTAGACCAAACTCAAGTAGTGCAAGACTTTCATCGATCGTTCGGAGGGTTGAATGTTTCTTGAGCCAAAGTGGTCGCCTTCAGGCGCTTATTGGATTGAGATATAGATCAAATTCCACTCAAAAGAGATATCTCCTTCCCTGGCACTTGATCTTCATCGTAACTCCTGCGCGCTTGCGCGCAGGCAGCAAACGTCTGTGGCATTAGATCTATGATGGCCGCATCGCCTCGGGTTCTTCCAGGCCGGACACCGTCCAGCTGTCCCGTCCGATGATTCTCGGGAACTCTTGTTAGGTCACTCAAGGTCGGACCACGGTCGGAACCACGGTCGGAACACACAGACGGCACGGAGCTGCTTGGGTCGACTCGGTCCGGAAAGTATCACCTGAGTCTTCGGGGTGTCCATGTCAGGATCTCTTTATTTCACCATGACGATTTCAGGGAGTGTATCAAGGTTGGGAAGGCCACACCGCTGCCAGCACACCTGTGAAGAATCACTAGAGTGACTTGGCAGACCACCCGTGGCTTAGCGGAAATGAACTGCCAGGGTGGTGGCCCCCCAAATGTCTCTAACCTGAAATTCACAGAAGGTGGCCGTGTTCGAATCGGTGGCCTGATGCTGCCGGTCTGTGTTTGTCTATGTTTGACATTGAAAGATTTGAAAGAAAGGCGTTCTGAGGACCCGCTCCCCCTACAAACTCCTGTTGTGGTTTCAGCGCGTGGAGGGAATCTCCTGGATTTCCATGGCTTCTGGAAACCAAATGCACTCACAATCTTTTCTCTTCTACGTATTCCGTGTCAGGCAAAAGGATGCTTGCATCGTCTTGCCTGTAGCAGTAGGGCGTCCCAGCTAGGGTACTCTTCGACCAATGGAGGATAGCCAAACAACAAAGAGCGAGGCAAGAAACCCGTTGTGTTATATAGCTTATGCCCCCCCCCTCCCCGTCCGCCACAAATGGAAAAGGAAGATATAGAATCTCTTGGGCAGCGTGAAGCTGAAAGTGTGGACAACCCAAAGTAGCTGTAAGCATCTCACGTTATGTACAGTATATAAATGCACTGTCAACATATTAGCATCTTGAGAAAATGGTGGTGAGTGTTGTTATGTGCCAAATTCGAGTCCTAATTCGATATAGCATGTCACAGCGAACAGTCACAAGTTGTCCAGTACAGTACAGAGAACTTCCCCTCGAAACCAGATTGCTGCAACTGTCGCCTGCCCCACAGAACCTGCCCATGCCTGTTGAATTGGTTTCAACCAAAAAGACCGTCGACGATGAAAGACTGGCACAGTGTTATAGCTTATAGCGTCCGATCGCTCCTAGTAGCAATGCCCTTTGTTACTATTTGTATGCAGCGCTGTCGGAAACGGTTGTTCATTCGTCTGGTGGGGCGCACCATGCCAGATCCATGGGTCTGGTGGGGCGCACGGTCCCTCGTGTGCTGCGGATGCCCACCGCCAAACATTGACGCCGCGTTCAGACCCTCCCACCACTTGGGGGGGAGACGCGAGCCGTGCGGCTCTTATTCAGAGCACCGCATGAAAACCATGATGATTTATCATGGGAAAGTGAGACGAGCAAACAGCCTGGCACAAAGCCTTGGACATCCTTGCGTGGCAAACGCTTGATAAGGTCAAAGCACCAGCCCCTTGTCCTGCTAGAGCCCACTCACTCACTCACTCACTCACTCTCACACACACACACACACTTGGATGGTTGCTCGCAAGAGCTAGGATCAGAGTGAAGTCCCCCTTGACTTGGTGAACGGAAAGAAGCAGCAACCGAAAGGTGGCTGAGTCGATGGACTTGTAGATGTTTAACAAGGTTTGTGCAGGAACTGAAAGAGTGCTGGGTCAGAGTTCCAGAAGTTTTAACACGGGTGAGACAATGGATTAAACATTGGCCTGCAGGTACACGAGAAGGCGTCCCTTCTCGCTTCACCAGTTGTGAGTCCTTCTTCGTTGGTCCAGGGACAACTCACAACTGCCTGGACCCCCTGCCTCGTTTTTGACTCGCGCTGTGTTTGTTTCAGTTTGGTTCCTAGTAGTAAGGCCAGAAGCTACTAGTAGCACCCAGCCTTCTAGTGGAACCTACGGCAGACTTACCAGGTACAAACCTTAGAGACAGGTGTTAACACACACACACACACACTGTGCCGCTATCGGCGCTCTGTATCCCTTACATGAAACGATTTTTAGTGCAACAACTTTGCACACATAGCGCCAATATTGGCGCGCCGGAGGTTTACTAGCCACCTAAAAAGCCTTAGAAAGACAGAAAAAGAAACAAAACAAGAGCAAACGAAAAGGGCAAGAAAGAAAAATAGGTGGTAGTGACGAGGCCCGCTTAGTTAAACGAAAGTAGTTAGCCAGCGGGACTTTTGTCTTAAACCGCCCGGGTAGCTAGAAGTAGGACAGGAGAAACAGAAGGAAAGGCACCAACACACAAGTGTGTTGAGTGCGATTTCCTGTTACCCTAAATAGCAGGTGCGGTAGCAACGGGGGCCCAGGGGCAGGGAGGTAGGGGGGAGGGTGGGATAGGGTGGCCCGAAGGCCGTGCCATCATTGGCATTCAAGTCAAGCCGATTTTGGCGGGCGCACCCTTGTCTGAAAAGTGCCTGAAGCCTAAGGAAAGGCCTCAAGAAACGAAAAGCAACAGAAAGAGAGAAAGAACCCAAGAGCATGAAAAGCACATGCGCTGACATGTCTGAGTCCGAAGCCCCGCCTGTGATTACCTAGGCGTGCAGACTGTACAGGTGAATACTTAGACACATGCATGGAAGTGCAAACCCGGTCTGGATCAAAGGTCTCAGTAAGCCCGGCCCGGAGGCACTGGCCGAGAAGCCGAAATCGGCGCATATAAATTGCTGTGAAAAATTAAAGATTGGAAAGACTTCTCTGCAGCATATTTCAGTAAGAGCTTTCAGTGAACTCTGCAGTACAATTCACGTGTACAAGGTGAGACATTCCAAGCAAGCTGATTTCGAGCAGGAAAATTCAGTCGAGTAAACTTCAGAGAAACTTCAGGGAGATTACTCCTGCAATGAGGAGTGAAAAGGTTCTTGCAATAACACACACACTCACTCTCACACTCACTCACACTCACTCACTCTCACTCACTCTCACTCACTCTCACTCTCACTCACTCTCACTCACTGTCACTCACTCTCACTCACTCACTCACTCTCACTCTCACTCACTCTCACTCTCTCTCTCTCTCACTCACTCTCACTCTCACTCTCACTCTCACTCACTCTCTCTCTCTCTCTCTCGAATGAGGCCGATGCTGACATCCCAAGGTCTCCTTTAGACTTTAAGCTAAACTCAAAAGGCATACAATATGAACAATGAACAGACTCAATTCTTCAAATCCAACAACTCTCGAGTTGCCCCTCAGGCTGGACATTAGTCCCTATATATATATATAGATCCAAAATTGTTCAAATACAGTATCCATGTATACTGAAAATGACCCCGTCCAACAATCAATTACGGCATTAATATGCATTAAATAAGTGTTCTATTCTATACCGTAGCCGTAGTCTGTGCCAGGACCGCTTGGCATTCCTGAAAGCCCGCCTTCCCTCCAGCGAAGCAAACTAGACCCAAAAAGAACTGGTCCATTTTTTATAATATGCCTGTTAGGCCGCTACATAGGAGTGAGTGCAAAGCAGTTCCATCCCAAGCCATCACGAACCTTTGTCGCGACGGCCCTTGAGCGGTGGTCATGATGCACGTCACCGGCTGGACCCAATCTTTCATTGGATCTTTCAGAAACTCCGACTCGGCTCAAGCGATGTGGTCCCTGCGTGCGAGGAGCTCGGCGTCAAGCGCCCAAAGTTTTGCCACCTTAGCTTGGCCAGGTTGGATGGAAGGCTGTGCGACGACCAGTGAGATACTGGGCATTGGATAGCATTGGGAACTTAGGCAAATGTGGTGCCACGATCTTGGATGATCTTGGATGCAAGCCCTCTTGAAGGTGCAAGGTCACCACATGGTCCCTCGAGGACTGGACATCTGCATCCTTCTTGGCAATGTCCTCTGCAGTAGGCTTGGCATCCTATCAGCAGCCCAGCATGTGCACCAACTACGTAATTAGCTCAAATTGCATTCAAAGCTGCCTAACCTCTGGAAGATTGAATGACAAATGACTCTCTGCACTTCTGCGACTGTGAATGCACGAACATGTCTCCCAACTCCGTCGCCTCAATCCAAATGTTCCGCCACTCCTGGCATTCTGACGGTTGAGGTTTTCTTTACCCCCCCAAGTGAATCCAGATGAATCAAGGGCTCGAGAAACTGTGCGGTGACACCCCAATGTGTCCACGTGACCCAGTCACTGTAGAACCCAAGGCCACACCCATTTCTGAGTAGAATTGCTATGAGTGCATCTGTCCAGTGAGAAAAACAACACATGCAGGGTCCGTGGACGGGCGTCGTCTAAGGAAACAGAGGACCTCTGCGCTAAGCCATCTGGTCAAATGCTTTGCATCTGGGGCTGTGCCGCAGCGTTTCTCTGACTCGGCGCGCGTTTTCATGCGCCTCCAAGTTGCTAACCATCTGTGCATGCATCGGCTGCAAGCCGGGGAAGACTCTCACCTGATGTCTCAGCTAAAACAAGATTCCACCGCCAAATTCCGAGGAGGCCACACCATCTCGCGGTGGACAAAAACGAAACAGCCATGGATACTTTCTGTGAATGGCAAAAATGCTTGCAGCATTGTGGATAGACATAGACTATGAAGCAGGCACAAAAGGACTGGCAAACCTTTAAGCTTGCATCTCTAGCGACGCTGGCGGCGACGAACGGAGCGACCAAGAAGTTGATGAAGCCATGCTGCGATCCTGGACGATTGACCTGCGGGCTGAAAAGCGGCTCCAAAGAGATCGTGTCACCCAAAAGACCGTAGACAGGCCTTTAGATGTACAAGGCCTGTATTGCTTGTGATGATTGTATGCTTTGGTGTCCTTCTGCTGCATACACATGCATCACAGAAAATTCAACACCTGGCCTTCTCACGATCATTCAACATCCCAACTGGGATTCCAAGTGACTTCTCCTGCGAATCATTGATCAACCTTCGAACCTTTTTTTCACCTGCCTGTACTTTGTTGATCTTTGTTGAGTGGGGAAGCCAATCCCAAAAAATGGTTCAAGGTTATCCACTGACTGGGTAGGTTGTATCTGCTTATCAACCCATGACCTATCCAGCGAGACCCTTCATTCCTTGATATTCGCTTCCTTTTGGGTTTCGTCCTAGTTGTCTTATCGCTGTGTTCTGGCAACAAGCACTGAAGTTCTGGAAACATTGTTGAAGGAGAAAACCATGTTTCAGCCGTTGACTATCAGTTGCTTCGCAGGCTTCGCAGTTCGCTCGCTTCACCTGCGATCAGTGGTCACATCAGCGTCCCAGTCAGGGATGGACTGGCATATGGCCACTCAAGGAGCAGCTCAGTCCACGGCCGTTCTCTTCACGGCTCCGCTCTTGTTCGCTCCACCCTTCGTCCGAGAAACGGACCACCCGAGCGAAGAGAACGAGGTCCTCATCACCTTGAGCGAAGAACTCATCCAAGACTCGCCAGGCCCAAGCTTTGCAAATCTCGAAGGGCTTCCTGAGTCGAGTCGACATAAGAAGACACATGGCATGTGGGTGGCACCAGCATACCTTCCTTAACCTACCGACGTGGTCGTCGTTCGCGGCAAGTGGTGGACTGGTCGGGCTCGAGGTGGGTCACTCTGCCTTTTTTCGGGGACACCGATGGACATGCTGCAGCTTAGCACAGGTGTCGACAGTGGCAGGCCTGACTCCCCCCAAAAAACGATCGGACCGTGAACAAAGTCTTTCTGGTGGCAACGCGCAAGCAAGCGGCAAAGGATTCGAAACGTCGGCAAAGTGCAAGAAGAGCTGCAGCCACATCCTTGCAGCGGAAATGACGCTGCAGTCATGCTTCATTGTTTCATGGATGTGTTTGCTTGTCTTCGAGCTCATCTTAGACTCAACCCTGCCCCCATGGTGTAGCATCAAAAAAATCCAAACATGATGAGCACATGGCATTCAACTGTCCAGCTGTCCACCACCCTGAATGTATTGTGTCTTGAGAAGCCACAATGGATTTGCAACATTGATTGAAACCGCTATAGGCTATAGTGCTGCTTGCAGTCTGAGGAGCATCTTGTTTTTTCCCAGCAGCACCTTTTCCCTGTAAGCCTGCGTGATGACCTTCGCTGCGGGCTCACATATGCGGGCTCGGTGGCGGAACATGTGCAAATCGGCCATGGCCATCAATGCTGAAGCCTTCAGGCTTTGGATGAACCACTTAGCGAAACCATATGCAGAGCTGCAGAAGCCAAAGCAGGGAGACCATGGGAGACCACCCCGTGTTCGACTCATCCGGAAGGTTCGGTTGGATCTCTCTCCCGACGTTGGACGTGCGCGCGAACGCACAGCGTTGGATGTGCCCGTCAATAGCAAGTACTACACACAAGGAACATGTAACCACACAAATAGGATGTATCACAATGGTGGGTGTCCTATTGTGTGATACTTCCTATTGTGAGGACTGAGGACTGGTGTCCTCCCACCTCACAATACAAAAGAAATCAAAAGAATGCCACATCACCCTCCAGATCCCTCCAGGACTTCTTGCTCAACCCTGGACCAAAAGGCTTTTGGTTCTGAGAACGCAAGAACCCAGCAATGCTGGAACAGTGAACGCATCCATCTCGCAAAGCCAGAAACGAGGCCTCTGGAGCTGCAGCTTGTGCGTCGCAAATCTCACTGTCCATCTCATAAACAGCACTAACATCCTCCAGGCGTGTTTCGCTTGAGACGTTCAGAGGCTGCCTTCGTGCTAGATATTGGAGACAGGCTGCACATATAAGCACTATCTAGCCAGCAAAAACTTCTGACAGTTGGCTAGAATCTGTGGCTGGTGTTGAGGTTCACTGTTCAATTGGCGCTCCTTCACCATGTCAAAGTGGTGGACGTTGTCAGTGTGCAGAATGACGGAAATGGCGATCTTGCCTCGGGAGGCACCAGGTGTCCCTGCGGCTCCATGGCTACATGACCGCTCTATGTCGTGGAGCCATGGCTCCAGGCCGTTTCTTTGTCGTTGTATGTGTGCATGTCGTAGACATGTCGCTAGACATGTCGTTATGACCGTGTGCAAACACTGTGATGTTTTATGTGGGTTATAGTAGGCCTCACTGCCTCGTTGTGAGTTCAAGACTTGCACAAATGACCTAGCTGAGCTAGCTGCGGGCTTCCTTCTGCTGCTCCTCGGTGGCATCGGCAAACCTAAGCTCGGTGGCTCGACCAGGCTCGGGAGCACGGCTCGACCCTGCAGCGTTCAGATCCAACAAGTGAAAGCAAGGCTTCTTCTGGCTATAGGCTATAGGGGAAGCGCACGACAGAAAAGAAACAAGCTGGAATCACACATCTATAAACAGGTGATTTACCAATTCTTTCATTTGGTGTGCAAAAACTGGACACGCTGCAACAGGCTACAACATGATACAACCGATGCAGATGACCTTTTAGCCGGTGGACACGTCCTGGCCCGCATGCTGACAGAGTTGGAAGAGCATGGCGCAGTGCATGTTCCTGAGATGCCAGGTCCGCCAGGTCGTCGAAGAAGCACGTCCCACACGGCCGCAACGGGCAGTTTGGCTTGGACGCGTGAATTCTGCGAATGGACACTCCCTGGGTCCCTAACATGGTTACGTGGAGAATGACCCCGACCGACAGGAAGACCATGAAATCCACGACAAACAAATGGTGCCATCCACTTTCATGTTAGTTCTAGGAGACCTGCCAATCTGTAGATTGACAGATGGTGCCATCCACTTCCATGAGTATATATTACTGCACGGACCTGCCAATCTCATGGAGACCGTCGACTGCGTCAACGGTCTAGCCCAGATTCTCCAGGGGCGACTTGTCGTTGTAGCGAAGAGCCAGTTCCTGAGTAGCTGCTGAGTAGTTGGATCCCCAGATGGTGCAAGACAAAACAACCATGTGCAACATACAGGCTGAACTGCGGAGTTGTACTGGCAACAAAAGCAGATGGGCCGGAGAAACGCCAAAAACTGCAGCGCTGTTCATATTTTGCAGCGTGTTTGAGGTGGGCAAATGTGGGCACTACAACCTGGAGAATGTGGAGGATCTGATCTGCACAAGACCCCAAGCAGCACCTACACTTCGGCCGGCAAGCGTGCTTGATCTCCACCAGGAACTGGTTGGTTTTCCTGAGCCGCACGATGGTGAACAAGCCAACAAGCCCACAAGCCCATAAGCCCCAGCTTAGGCCCTCTGCACCCACACCACTCCAGGCTCGCAAGTAAAAACCCATCTCTCCATACGTCAGCCCCCACCGTTGTCCTTCGGCCATATTCATTTGACTTCGCACGTCCACTCCAGCGACTCGATCGATCAACTCCCGCCGACCTGGACCCTCCGACCCTCGGGGTGTCCTGGCTGGACTACCCCACACTACCTATAGCCAGACAGGGCACCCCGAGGGTCGGAGGGTCCCGATCTGGATCCCAGACCTCATCACTTCACTCTCTACAGTGGATTGAGAGGCTCGATGGCACAGACCCCAAGGTTGGTGGTTGATCCCCATCTGTGGAAAGACATCCCCAAGATCGATGCCAGGTGCCGGCCCAATGGACTCCGATCATTCACTCACTCCGAGGATCCCAAAGTGGCCCAAATCGTGGCAGAGCGAGGCCACCAGCAGGGCATATTGCTCGATCTCACCCGTCCATTTCCCAGCATGGCTGAGCTGAAGCAAGCGGAAGACCGTGAACAAAACATCCACTCCATGGTGAAAGCGGTGGTAAGGAACGTCCTGACAGGTCTTATGACAGCAAAGTCATGTAGAATCTTCATTGATCAACTCCCCCGTGTTTCTTTTTGGAAACCCTCTTCACATGGGGGGTTTATGTAGCTCAAGAGTCTGTACAAACATGGTGACATGTTACCCCATGTGACTCCATCAAGAACTTGTCCCAATGTCATTATTAATGTACATGAACTTGATTATATATATAATGCCTTTTATGGAGTAATATGTCGTCCTGTGGCGGCTGTGCGTTTTCACACCTCACAAAAACACCCGTTCCCGGCCGAGACCGTACGGCCGGGAGCAGCGGTAGCGCCCTCCGAAGTGGAAGGATGAACAACATGCTGCCCGTCCATGTGGTGCATATGTATGCATATGTCAGAAAATAAGAATGCCTTCATCTCTAAGAGGCCTAAGAGGGGACTTAGAAGTGACACTTAGTGCACGCCTAGTATCACTTCGTGTAAACTTACAAACTTGATCTGCAAACATCCAAGCGAGGGGAAGCAGGAATCCATGACAGCCACACAGTCCTTGTAGTTCCCTTCCACATTGTGAACAAACTGGGAAAAGATCTCCTCTGTGACGTAGTGATAAGCGACTCCGAATTGGGAGCTAAAGAACATGTAATGGACGTACTTGTGCATCCTGGGCGTTCAAAAAGATCTGAATGTGGGTCAGCTTCTGATAGCTTGGACAGGATCACTAGGCGAATCTGAGCCCTCGACAATTGTCCACATGTAATGTACAATTTTGATCGATAAACCCTCCCATGCTAAGAAGGTCTTGGAATCCAAGTAAGGGAGTTATTCATCAAGATTCCACATTATGGGGTCCAAATTGATGCGTTTCTCTGGACGACGATTGAGGCGCGGCAGGGCTGGGAGCAGCAAGTGGCTAGCACCGTGGGCAGCAAATTATTCAAGTCTCCCAGCTATGCTTGCTTCTTGCTCCGTTCCCCATCGGTTCGTGAAGGGTCTCTGAGTAAATCATTATGAGCTTCAGACTCCAAGTCTCTCCAAGTCTTACTGTCGCCGGCCAAACCAAAAAAACACGTTCACCAACCACCAGCTGGTGCTTCTTGTGCTTCTTTCTTCTCCCTTCTCTGTTGATCCATGGCTCTCCTCGGGCGAAGTGTCCAGAAAGTTCAAATCCCAACCTCGGCTCTTTCGGGCCTTCGGGCCTTCGGGCCATGTCAAAGCAGAACTCCAGTGGTTCACAAAGCTGCTGGGATCAGAGATCACACACACATATAAATATCACACATATAAATCCATATTCATCCATCCAATTCCAAAGAGTTCAAGCCAAATCTGAGAGCATTCAAGGAGCTCTGGGAGATCTGGTGGTGCCGGGTGCTGTTTGATGAAAGGATTGACAGTGGCACAGGTGCTGTCCCTCACCACAGACTTCTGCTAGAACACCCTCCGTCACCCTCAGCTGAGGAGCTTTGAGTCCAGCTGACCTCGAAGTCCAGTTGCGTGGGTCGTTTGGCAGACGGAAAGCCCAACATTGGTGCTGGAAGGACCTGCACGTTCAGCATGTCGAGCAAAACCTTGGAGGATTCCAAGGTTCGAAGACGCCTCTAAGAGGACTGCGACTAAGACGCGGGATGAGCAGCCCCTAGTGGGATGACAAGAACTTAGTTGGGAGCGCGGTTTCTGAAGGATGAAACAGGATGAAAGTTGATGTGGTGCTTGGCCAAGAGTGGTGTTGAACTTACGTATTGAGCACTATCAAGGTGCTGACTTCCGGCCAGCTAGAAACCAATGTGTAAAAATGCAGGCCAGCAACCGCTTTTCTCTCTGCGTTCATGTTCCTCACAGCGAAAATTGGCAGCATGTTCCGGGCACGACGGTCAGACCACCCGACGCACCAGCCACCAATCACTGATGCATGCCAACTTTGGACACAAGACCCATCGCAAATGGATTGGAGGTTGAGACCATCTCGTTGTTCTCGGGATGTGTGGACTGTGCAGCACACGGGGTTTACTGTAATGATATGATCCAAACTGAGACCTCTTTGCTGAAGAGGTAGAAGGGGTGAACTCACGGCTTTTGATCCGGACGCCTATATATAGGTAGTCTATCCTACGCGATGTCTCTGTGGTCTCAAGCGCACAGCTGGACTCTGATCCAAGCCAAGGTTCTCTAACTCATTTTGAGTCACTGCGTGCGTAGAGACTTCCGCCAAGGTTGCCAGGCGCGCCAACTTCTTCAAAATCAGCTGGCAGTGCGTGGCTTGGACAAAACTGATTGAAACTAATCAAACAAGTGAGGTGGCCGAACCCCACATGTATAGAGGCGTGCGGCATGCAGGAGGTGCAGGTTCTTCTGGCATAACTTCATAACCCAGTTCAGATTGTAAGCTAATTATATCATGTATGGGATGCCCAATTGTACTTCGCCGTTTAGTAAAGTTTAGTAAACAGGTACAGTAATAAATATATATATATATATATATTATCCAATTCATCCTGGGACACACCAGCCATTCGGCTTCTTCCCCCATGGAAGAAGAGAAGCGATTTCTGGTCCGTTAGGTCCGACCTGGATGAGCTCGATCTCGGAGGCGCCAGTGTCCTCGTTCTCCTCTGAATCCAGGTCCGCCGCCTTGCGGGATGGAGAAGAGAGGTCGGTGAGATGGGCGGTGGGTGGAAGCAGCAACCAGTGCGGTCCAATGGTCATTGCGAAGCTCCAAAATCCCTCTCAGCGCATGCTGCTGCCCATCATGCAATACCATTGATCCACAAACCAAGCATTTTGCTGGTCTGTGCGACCAGATCGACCAGTTCCCCGCGCCTGGGTCTGCTTCGAAAAGCGTTCGAAAATATGGGCGGCGTTCTCCCGCACGTGTTGGAGCATCCCCTGCCGACGGACAGCGGCTAAACATCGCCTGTTGGACTGGGTTGAATCCAGTGAAGGCAGGTTCCACCCACGAATACACCAAAAAAAAGGCTTCTTGCCAATAATTCAATATCCACAGCATCTGCCGCTTTGTGTGGCGTACTTCTCTAACCTGGAAACACCTTCACAATCCTTCACGATTCCGATACCTTCTCTGGCTCCTTCCCTCGGCAGTCACCTCCAAAGGCTTCACCAGATTTGCATCAACAACTTGTTGCAAATCACAGCTGGTCAAAGCCTCAGGCGACTTGCGGTTCAAAGCCAACCAGCAAGTAAACAGGCCTGGATGCCAAACGTACCAGTTCCGCTTGCGGTTCGTCTTGGACGATTTGGACTCAACTACACCTGCTTGACAACCTATGCAGTGCGCTGCGGGTTCACATGCATCCTGCAGTTCTGGGTGGCTAGGAAATACTGCAGACTCGTGCTTAGTAGGGAATAAGGGAATGAGCTCCCAATAGAGATTCCTTTGGATCCAGCCACCCTCCTTCCCTGGTTTCCGATCCAAGCCGCCATCAAGCCAATGATGAAGGCGATGGTCACAACTTCGACCTGAGCTCGGGGCCCTTGGTGAGCGCTCTGGGCCCTTTGGCCCTGGTTGCGGCCCATGCGTCCCCATCCACACCATGTGTTCGAAAAAAATGGGCGGAAAACTACTGGTGGGCACACAACTACTGGTGCCAAAGTACGTATGCAACGGGCACACCTCCCGGCCAACAATTGAGCTTTCCCACACCTCCCGGGTCAAAGAACACCTGCCAAGTAGCTAGCGCGTCCAGTTGTGCTGGACTGGTGAAGTCAAACAGCACCGCTGCATTGCAAACCTCGTCCAGCGGAACCGCGAGGTTGGAAGTGCAAAGGATCTTGGACCAATCTTGGAAACCATAGCGGATCATGGAACCATCTGGTGGCATCAAACAACAGCAACTATGTTAACACCATCTGGTTTTCGATGGCGACTGAATGATCTTGGATCTGGATCTACTTGGCCAGTGCTGTCCAACTCAGCTTGACGAACTTGGTCATATGCTGATGAAGACTCTAGGGTGCCACTTATCCTTTGCATCCCTGTCACAGTCAGTTGAGACGTTGGCATGCCCCCCTTCACTGATACAAACCTCGCTTCATGAGATGACTAGGTGCACTGAGAACGATGGAAGGGGTGGAAGGGCCCTTGCTTCAAATCCTCCGTCTCGGCCAGTTTGGCCCAGTCGCCCTTTGAACCAGGCAGTTCTCCAAAGTCACTTCCTTAGAAAAACAGCTGACCAACAGCTGACCAGGCAGTTCCTGTGTGCAGCTAGCTGCCTTGCCGAGCAAGATGAAAGATTCCCAGCACTCAAACGTTTCGCCGTTGGGTATTTACACACATCACATTCGTCTCCGAGTCTGAATCTTGCGGAATGAGTGGCTACAATCAACAATCATTGCGTTGAATGAGAGTTCTGTGCCTTCCACAAAGTACGGATACACCTCTTTCGCCATTCGGTTGGATCTTTTCCCGTATCAATGTAGGAAAAACATCATTTGGCACTACAATGGGAGTGCACATTTCATCTGGCAATGCATTCAACATGTCTACGTCCAGTGCATCATACTTGTGCAAATAATTCAGGATGACATGTAAATAGTATATATCAGTTTATGCACCACCTTCACATCACATTGACAAAACACATGGCCATGGCTTCTCTCCGAATTCTCGCACAGAGACAGTATCGACCACATCATGGGTAACACATGAACATGACACGCGCCCACCCTGATCTCGGTGCAGTCCACCACCCCACCAAGCTTCTAGGGTATTTCTGGCTCGCAGTGGCGAGTTTGCCAGGCTCTGAGAAGCGCCAAATCCACGAACCAAGTAAGGGTGATAGTTGATACGCTGGTAGAACCTGAGCGCGTCATAGATTATATATAGATTGCTCCGATGTGCCATCCAGGATCAGCCACAACATCAGATTTTTTGTTGAACATCATCCAAAAGTATCATCTTTGAAATTACCCTGTAACTCCTGAGTAAGGGACAATCTCAACACGGATCCAAAAAGTCGAGGATTTCTTCAGAATCACATGAGCCAAAACAGCTTTGAAGCTCCACAGCTTTTTTCACGGATCAGTCGAGGAGTTCTTCATCCACAGCTTTGAACCGGACTGTGCGCCCCAAGGCGCTGGACCATCTGATCGATGGACTGCTCCAAGGCATTGGTGGTCTGGTTGGTCCTTCCAAAGCCATCCATGGGGGAAAAAGCATGCAAACAACCCCCAAAGTGCCCTATCTACGTAAGCTCCCATTATCTCCCACTGTGCTCAGCAAAGGCATCCAATCCCGCATGTCAGGCTAAATCTGGACCAAGACCCCCCCCCAAAAAAAAACAATCCGAAAGCCCTCAAGCAAGCACGGAGTAGTTGCTCAATGTAGATATTGCATCGGGGGGATCTATATTGGTGCTGTTGGATCATGTTGACTCCAAGTTTTGCCTCTTCCAGGTTCAGCACAACTCATTTTGCTTTGACAAGTCTCTGATCTTGAAAATAGCTCTCTTCCAGCTTATTCGGCCAAAGGCTGAGGGACAGGTCTTCAGTTGGATGCAGCGGAAGGGTTGACAAAGGCACCACCTGAGACGCTGCATGTTTCTGCACCGCATGCAGGCATAACATGCTTGGACAAGTTCACAGAATCACCAACAAGGGCCTCACGCACTCAATGCCCACAAGAACATCTGGTGGCTCTGGCCAGATCAGATCAGCCTTGTATCTTACCCCTTGCTAACGCGCGTTTTTAGGAAAATGGGCCTGGACTGGAGGCGCCAAAAATGGCAACGAAATAAGAATCTTTGACTGAGGTGCCATGACCATCAGGATCACGATGACCGAAACACGTGTGGAAAGAAGAACGACCAGCTTGCCTCAGTCAGAACATGTGGACCACACTGATTGTATGTCATGTAGATGTCAAACGTGTCCAGGTTTGTTAAGTGCTTCAAAATAGAATGTGCAAGGCAACGGAAAGCGCGAGATTCCGCGAGCAAGTTAATCAGTGGGCAACAGGCGAATGTGTCGCACTTATCTCCGCTCATTTCTTGATCAGGGCGGCATCAGCCCCATTGCAATGATTTCTCAGATTCTCAACTCAAGTTATAGTTATATATAGTTATTTACAAACTTGCTCAAATGGAACCCGATTACAGTACAGAAACACAGTTGAGGCGAGGCATGCTAATGTTTGTGTGACTTTGCCAAAACATGCTGTTCCAAGGCTTGTTTCTCTGCTGGTTGGTAGGAGCGATGTCAAGGCCCAGTTGCTTGCAAGCACTTTGGCTTCCACTTGGCTACTCTTCTTGCCAGACGATCTGTAGAACATACCTGACCCGGCAGAACGATCAAATGTCAAGGAACGACCTAACTTGTCTCAGCTGAAAAAAGGGCATGTGAACGTTGGTTGGTGCCAAGTTCTGACCCACACCCATCACCTGGCATATGTATACCAGGACCTTCCTCCTGGTGGATATTTTGTTTATCTACCCTTTCCTGACAAGTCCCCCCTCCTAGAACCATCATAAAGGGGTAGGGATCCTGGCGTCAACCACTACTTGGTCCTTGAAGTTTTTGGATGATTTCGAACCTTCTTGTGTATCAGCAACACTGAAGCTGTGATGCTGCAGTGAATTCCGATAGGCACAACATCGGCACCGCAAAAAAAAGTTCGGCGACTCGGCATGGCTTTGAAACTTTGCCAACATCTCATTCACACCCTGACTTCCAACATCTCAACTCCAGATTCTTTCCTGTCCCCACACTCACCGGAGGTTTCTCCAACCCAATGGAGCTCGCCACCTCTCGCGCTTGGCTCAACTCTCTACCACCTCTGCGGCCGAAGAGGCTCACGCATTTCACCAGCTTAATCAACCGCCCAATGCGCGCCCCCAGCTTGGCTGTGCGGGCGGTACGCAGCACCACCTTGGGTCTGCAGAATCTGCGACAGTGGACGCATGATCTGCACAAGGTGTGCTGATCCGGTGGGCTCTTGAGAAATTAAAAATAATCCTCAATTGGATTGTAGAGCTTCTTTTTAATGGAGGGTTGCATGATGTAATAGAATGTACAGGGCATTTACGGTGCATGTGAAGTTTATATATAAATATATATGTATATATAAATATATAAGTTATGATATATATATATATAGACGATGTGTAATTGCCTCAATGCTGTTCTCGATTTGGTGTCGACGGGGCAGGCAGGTTTCGGGCAGGTGTCGCTGGGTCGGTGTGCTCGACCGCGAGGAGTTTTCAGCTTTGCCGATGTGTTGGACATGCTGATCCACCGAGCGACAGTATTGGAATTCACCAGCTGGCCCAGCAAGAATGAAATCTCAAAGGCCATGGACAGAGTTCCCAATAAATCCATCCTGCGCAGTAAATGCTCTTACTCTCAGAACGCGTTGGCTTCTATGGTGTCCAGCTTCATTGTCAAGACTCTATGAGCTGGCACGCGCGAAATCGTTGGAAAGCCACGCACCGTACGGTGCGCAATTCGTTCGGCTGAGCTCATGACGCGAAGAAAAAGGAATAGCGGTAGAGCTCATCGACCATCAATAGCCCGAGCATCTCAAGGGTGAAGGCCACAGCAATGATGAACATTAAGATGTCCATAATTATCACCTCAAGTGGCTAGCAGTGAAGCATAGTGAAGCTAGCAAGAACAACAAGAAAATACGTGTAAGGCCTTACAGGCCTGTAAGGCTAAGGCTAACATCAGCAACAAGAAACGTGCTCAAAGCACTTGTGGTTTCATGGGTCTGTGCAGCCAGCCATGCAGCTCCAACCCCAACAAGCCACCTCTCCCATCATATGTGTTGTTCCTGCGTTAACACCATTTTGGCACTGTCTTGCACGCAGGTACTCCGAAGCCAAAATCTGATACATCAGTCTTCTATTCCAAGCCAAGCCGGCCTTGTGCCCGGCGCAGTGCCACCCACGATTCTTCCACGCGCTGCTTTAAAAAGGAAGCTTTTTCCGTCCCTTTCCGGCCATGGAGTTCGAGCCGTTCTTCAGCCCAAGGAGCTGTGGGTTCATCTGGAAGGTCCAACAAAGTGACCATCCCAGGTCCAAACAAAGCGATCGCCAAGCAAACGTAAAGCCTCCGCTCGGGCGCGACAACATCGCGCCCGCGTTTACAAGCAACGACCGGCCGGACCAGCGGGCGGCGGTCCAGGAGATCTCCTGGATGAATCATCGACCCCCCTGGTTCACATCTGGGAGACGTTTGGGATGCTTTTGGGTGACGACGTGCTGTGGGACGTTGGACGGTTGCCAGGCATGTCCTGGCTTCGGTTCGTGCGTGTGACCCCTCCGTCCGCGACCCACGTCCACCAATCCAGGCCACGTCCACCGGACCACCGGTCGCTTCATCAAGGCTGCCAGCCCTTTGGGTGCCACCGTGGATTGCCGCCGTGGTCTCGGCGTGGAACCGCCCTAGGAAGCGTGGAGGGAGCATAGGGAGCACGTAGGGAGTGCTAGGGAGTGTGCTAGGTGCTTCCACTCAGAACTTGTAGTGAATTATAAGTTGTAGGTTTCATGTGTCTGGAACCCTAAAAACCCACTAACCAGCCATTCAGAAACCAATCATTGTACAGGAATTGGCACGGAAGACTTGGACAAGGCCAGGCCATGTCGTATATTGCTGTTACATGCTGTTACATGTCCAAATACAGGGCAATGGTGATGGCCGGGACCTCATGAAGCAAAGCCCCAAGGATTTTAGCAGACTTGGCGTGCGGCGGCTTTGTCTCTGAACTATGTTGTATGTCCCGGCTTGGATCTTTCAAGTACTGGGCCAATTGGCACCAAGACAGCCTGACGAAATGACGATGTTTTTCCATGTTCGGGAGGTGCAGTCTCAGGCTTGGCCATAGCTCCCCCACGAGAGAGCAACGTAAGCGATTGACACGGCTGAAATGAGATAGCAGTCTCGTGGCTGTACGGATGACAGACTTAAAGTAACATTCGGCTATGACATTGAAGCCCGATTGATCTTCCTTTTCAAGCAGTCTCTGAACGGTCATCGCAGCTGCATAGATAGTAGAGCTACGATTTTGCGCTCGTCGTGTGAGGATTCATACGAAGAATCATGAGAATTGTACAGGCTTTTCCGCCCCCACCGGCGCCCACCGATCAGTCTCACAGAACAGTCGCGTCTTCGTATCATGAGTTTCAGGGTCACGGGACGGCATCGACCGAGGAAAACCAACCAAAGACTGGGCCTTGGGCATCGGCGCGACCTCTGCACTGTCTTCCATACCTCGTGTGGTGCGAGCCGCTCTTCCAAACACAGAAGAATTGACGTGGGAGACGGAGCTGAGCTGAGAACACCTCTAAGGCTTTCGCCCAGAGCATCCATGGAATAGCCATTACATGCCAGTAAGACCTACAGCACTACCTACAATATACCTACATTAGGGCCCTAAAATGGGGTAAATGTATGTGCAGTACCTCTTCCATACATGGATGGTCTGGGTTGGCCGCATCAAAACCCCCCCCCTGCCGACCCCCGAGCTTCCCCCAAGCTTCCCCGCTGGACATGTTCGTCGGGCTTTGCCGCGCTTCACTCATGCGGATCGTCACCGCCTCCACCTGGGGATCGTCACAGCCCCACCGACGCCCTCTGGGCGGTCGGGACGAAGTCTTCACACGACTGAACAGTTCTGCCATCAGTTCTGCATCAGTTCAAGGAGTCTGATCAAATGCTTCTTACTGAAATGAGGTCTGAAGAGTTCTGTCATGAAATATGCTTCCTTTTTTGCCACGCCGGCTTGAACTGCAATTCAGAAGACAGCGGATGACTACCATACTCCCAACTACAAGTAGAACCAGGGGATGGTGATGCTTCGCAGCTGAGGTCCTTTGCTCCTGAACTGTTTAACACTAAGGAATGCGGTGGGTTTAAGTACTGTGCAAGGACGTGCAAGGAAGAAATGTACACTCCCCGGAACTGACATGGAAGTGGAGTTCACCCCGTTTGGAATTCGGAGCACTCATGGTCTTCCTTTTGGATGTGACTCGGACCCGAAGGTGCCGCTGCCGAGCTCGGACTCCGTGCCTCGTTGGCCACCGGAGCTGTCTCCATCCTTGGCGCTACCAGGGCCCTAAGGCCCTGGGGAACGGTGTGAGACCCTAGGCCAACAGCCTCAACGGCCTGGAGATGCATGCTATAGATGTCCATCTGCCACGGTGCTCCTTTGGAGCGGGACTCACCAGCATTCAATTGGCACGTTCACCCGTCCTAGAATATCCTAGAATGGTGTGCTGGGTGTTTGGCGCCAACTTCAAAGTATATATCAGTTAAAGGCTGTTTGCTGTAGTTTTCTCCTGCACTTGGTGTTTGGTGACGGTGCTGCCAGGATGACGCTGACACTGTCGCTGACCTATGCGAACATGGGAGCTCAACAAATATGTGCCAGTGAGTTCATTGCAAAGGTGGCAGGCCTTGTAGCCTTGCACTTCCCAGTTGAAATAAGTTGTTTCAGTACATTGATTTCCTCCTTTCAGTGCATGATAGTACAGTTACGTATTTCCTCCATTGTGAAGTAAACCCGCGTGGAACTCGTGGAAATCAATCATGGGAAGTTTGTGGCAGCCAAACCTTTTGTACCTCACAGTTCAGAACCCTGTATGACTGGATCTGACTGGCACATACGTGTATATATTAACCAGACCAAGCTCTCTCTCTCTCTCTCATCTGTCTCTCTCTCTCTCTCATCTCTCTCTCTCTCTCTCTACGTCTATATATATGGCCCTATGGCGATAAAAATAAACATCTATCATCATCTATCGCATAGCGTTGATTCCTGACCGCGGTATACAATTCTGAAACGATTCTTCCTCTTTTCCATGCTGAACAAGAAGCTACTAGTAGCAAAGGGCATCGCTACGAACGGAGCGATCGGACGCTACGAACGTGGCTCCTGGCATTACTACTCGGAACAAGAAGCTACGAAGGTAGCAAGGCAATTCTGAAACGAGTCTTCTTCTTTTTCTTTCCCTGCCAAGCTGCGCTCCTGATTGCGCGGACCTCAGGGCGAAGACCAGTTGTAGAATGTCAAATTCTGGAGAACACACGGATTAGGTCCACGTGTCTTGCGCGACAAAACGGAAGTTCTGTATAGAGTCTTTTGAACACTCTTCCCTAACAAACGTCTTGAGAGGAAGAGAACAGAACGGAAAACCATTTTGTTTTGAAACATGGTCTTCCAGGCTCCTTGTGTTCAGGAGAGGCTTTTCCGAAAACTCCGAAAGAGCATCTCCAAGGCCCGCACAGGGGAGCACGGATACCGCTCAAGACATCACGGCCCCAGGACAGGTGGCTTTGAAGCTCCTGGTGAACCCACGAGTCGCGAGAACCGGCGTGAGAACGGCGGGTCCAGCTGCTGCGCCAAAACCGCGCTGCGGTGCTGCTGTGGACAACAGCAGCTGTCTAGTTGCTGGTCAGACTTGATTGGGGGGCCGGGTCTGGTCCCAATAGCTGTCCGCTGTTCACAAGACTTCGGTCCTCCTCCAAGCAATGTTGCTCCGCGTCAATCCGCCCCGTGTAGTCCGAGCTCTTCAAAGAAGCTGCCTGAAGAGACCGTGGCGACGCATGTTGCGAATGCCGATGCCCTGTGGCAACTCTTTGCGACAACGCGAACTTTCCAACACATCTTCTCGAATCGGAACACCCAACGCTTCGGTGGGCCTTCGCTTCGGTCTCGCGGTGGGCTTTGATCTCTTGCAAGAGCTGCTTCGATCGTTGAAAATGCTCCTCTCCCGCTCGGCCACGAGTCCCGAGTCTGGTGATCTCCCATTGTAACCCGAATCCTCTGGACGGGTCGGACCCTGATATGGAGGGGTCTGGGGTCGAACCTACGTGAGCGCGCTGCGCTCTATTTTGCGCACAAAAAGGGCTTCAGTATGTAAATATGCTTGATCATAGCCTTAAGGCCTTGACCTGGCTGGTGTGCAACCTTCTACACATGTTCATAGCCAAAAGGTCGTGACCTGGCCTCCGAAACTTGGTACACTTCTATTTGTGCACCCACACTCCCCCTTTGGCCGACATGGCCAAACTTGGGGTCACAAATTGACCAAAAACTGTCTTCCCTTTTGGAGGCATGCTCAAGCCCTCTCTCACTTTCTAGCCGGTCTTAAAGAGCGTATAGCCCACCCAGCTGAACGGCAGGTAGCTGCTCTTCCGGCCCGATCGCTGGTCGACTATGATCAACTTGGTCTTCCCGAGTGTGCTTCCGACCACCTGCCACGCGATCGTCATTCGCCATGGGCTCCACTCATCTAGGTCCCAGAGCTTGGTGGTCTCAAAGTCAAACATCTTCTTTCGCTCTTGCATGTGCTCCCTCACTGTGATCTTCTTGCCATGTTGATGGTCCTCCAACAAAAGCCAGTCGTCCTTGGCTGAGGTCCTCCTCAGCGGGATCCCCACTCTTCAACGGAGCTTCTCCGTCAAAAAGCCCGGTTGGAAGTTGATGTCCCTCAGGAAGTCCAGCACCTCCTCATTCTTCACCTCCCACCTGCCCATCGTGATGCCGTAGCCGACGTGGGTGACCAATCGCAGAGGGCCGTCGATCGAAGGACCAACTCCTGGTGTTGACTCCATCAGCTCTGGCTGCTGATCTGCGGCTCCCTGCCCGTCTCCGCCCTCTTCTCCATCACCTCGTGTTTGGCTCGAGGAAGAAGTCTGCACCCGCCGCTCCATTCCAGGCTCACTGTAGACAAGGTGAGTCCCTTCTGAGTCCACTCTGACCCAGGTTCCACCAAAATTCCTTCTTGGGCCCCTTCGCTGCATCATCCGGTCCCATGCTGCCGGTTCCAATCCCAGCTGAGCTCTCCTGCTCCGCTCCGCCTCATAGTTGTATTCCCCACGATGCCATACATCTGGATCGGGTACTTGACGGCGTCCAGCTGGTTCAGGTCGTACAGCAGGCGGTTCCTCCGGAACATCTATCTCCTGTAGCTCCGATGGCTGCCCAGTGGATGTCCTTCGTGACTCTTCCGGTCTTGAGTCAACCCTCATCGCTCTCACCGAGATCCTGTTCACCGGGTTTCGGGTGCCCAGCTCCTGATGCTGGTAGGATGGGTCATCTGGCTCTGCCCATGGGTAAAGTTCTTCGTGGGCCGAATAGCCGAATCCCCGCGACCCTCTGGCCGTCGTGGTCAGCTCCTCCACACAGTTCACCTCCAACTCCAAGATCTTCTCGATGACGAGCTGGGCGACGCGATCTCCCTTGTAGATTCGTAGGTCCACATCCGAGTGGTTTCTCAACAGTACTTTGACTTCCCCCCTGAAGTCTCTGTCGATCACTCCAGCCCCAGTCTCAATGCCTCGAATCGCCAACGACGACCGTGGTGCCACCCGTCCGTAGCTACCCCTCGGAAGCTCCAACGCAATCCCGGTCTTGATCAGCACGCTGTCTCCCGGCTGCACCATGGTTTCGATGGTGGAGTAGAGGTCCAACCCAGCAGCCTGCTCCGAGCCTCTAGTCGGGAGGATGGCATCTGGCGACAATAATTTCACCTTCAGCTCCTCCTTTGGCTTGAACCACCTCTGCACTCCCGCTGCTCCGACCCTGAATAGGATGTCGCCCAAGATGGCGATCGCGGCCGTGATCAAGACCAAGATCCACCATTCGCTACTTCCCTCCTCCTTGACTGTCTCGGATGCTTCGGCCCTGGTGACCAGACTCGCTACCACGATCATCAGTCCGACCACCTTGAGGAATCTCGGGTCAGGTGACCCCCCACCCAGGTCCATCTTCTTCACTTCGATGTTCTTCGCCCCCTCTTCACCCTCTCTCAACCTCAATGCCTTCTTGAAGTTCAGGAGGGGCTGCCCGGTCAGCTGCTTCGTCATGCCATCCGCCACCAGCTCTGTCCCAGCCACGTGTTCTAGAGACACCTCCTTCAACCTCAGAGCTTCGGTCAATCCTGCTGCCCTGATCCTCAAGTGTCTCGTTCTCCACGATGATGTAGTTCCAGCTGCAATGGCAATGGCTGCTGTCGAATCGGAGTGCAGTTTGACCTGGACCTTCTTCCCAAGGACCGCCTCAAGAAGCGCACTGGTTCTCGACCTTCTCTCACCCACTCCGGTTCCCCAATCTTCCAGTGCGTCTTGACCTGGTCGATGAACCCCTGTATGATCTCTTCTTCACACACCATCAGTACGTCATCCTTGTACGTGGCCAATGCCCCTTTTGTTGTCCAGGCGTTTTGAGCATCCATCTCCTGTACCAGCCAGATGTCCGCCTGAGGTGTTGCTTGCACCCTCACAGGTCGCCCTTCTCTCAACCACTGGAAATTCTTGATCTTGCCATCTCGGTGGTCACACCAATCCCGTGGAGAGGTCACTAACCCGTAAAGGGCTTTCTTCACGAGCCACAACTCCTTTTGATCTCGAAGCACTCCAGCCTCTGGGAAGATCCTTGGTGGCTGAACTATCACCACCCCACGGTCGTGAGCCGCCGGGGCGTTGAGGAACGCCGTCTTGACATCGAGGGTGCTCAAAGCCCACTGATTGATCGCCGCCAGCTTGATCAGCATCCTCACCTCAATCCCACTGGCACCGGAAGCGAACGTGGACTCAGAGCTCTTGGCATTCATGAAATTTCCACAGGCCACCCCCCGACATTTATGTCTTCCAGTGCCTGCCTTTCGACTGAAGATGGCCTTCGCGGGCACCAGGTCAAAATCCCTGCCCTGCGCCCTTGCCTCCTCCTTCAACCGATCCGACTCCTCCTGCCCAATGGCTTCCACCGCCTCGGACTCATTGGTCAGTGCAACGTACTCCTCAATCATAGATGGCTTCCACTCTTCCAGGTTCTTCCTCACTTCGGTCAGACCCACCATCCGCGTTTGTAGGAACTCTGGGGCCTCCTCCAACTTCTCCTCGATCTCGGCGACCATGTTCTTCTCCTCCTGTCGGCCGGCTCGAACGGCTTCTTGGCTGATCTCCTCGATCTCCATCGTGAGAGCCTTCAGAAATCTTTCATTCCTGACTTCTCCGGAGTCCTCTTCCAGAAGTTGAAGCTCTTGGGATAGCATCCTTGCCCCCCGGTGCTGCAGCTCCCCCCAATCTACGGACTCCATCTCCGTCTCCACCCGAAGAAGCTTGGCCTTTCCTCGAGTTCTCCCCGGCCTCTTCCGTGGCTGCTGACTCTCCTCTCGGTCGTCAACCTCGTGAATCGTACCTGCCTCTCGATCTGGCAGCGCCACCCCTTCTGGCATGTCCTCCACCTGGATGATGTCGGCGGTGTGGAACAGCTTTCCCGTGGTGAGCTCCTCCACGAAGTATCCCGGCGATGTCATCGACATCGTGACAGCTGGACAAAGCACCCTCACCTGTGTCCTGGTGGTGGACAAGTACTTCTGGCGGTCGCTGTAGAGCTTCCTCTTGGCGCAGACCACCTGCCCAAAGGTCGCCAGTCGCCGGCGCTTCCACCCCATCGACTCCAGTTGACTCCGAAGTCGAGTGTCAGCCCAATGCCGAGTGGCGTGACACCAATAGCTCTCGTCAAGACCTGCTGCCACTAGGAGGGTTCTGGCACCCCGTTTGAGCTGTGCCACCGCTCCTTCTGCACGGCCATTGCCCTTGAAGTTGTCACCATCTGTAAAAGTGCGACAGAGGCCTCTATCACGGATCCACTTGTCGAAGATCTTACTCTGATACTCGCCAGCCCGGTCCGAGTGGAGCCGCTTGAGAGGGAGCCTCAAGAAATTCAGCTTGGCCACCATCCTTCCCACTGCCTCCAGTACTGCCGACGCTCCTCGATTCTCCATGACCTCTGCGAACGTCACCTGCTTGACCTGGAAGTCTCGCTCTGGCTCCACTAACGCTGCCCATTCTTTCTCATCATCCAAGCCTGGCCATGGTTCTCCTTGGTCATGGTCGCCTCGCTCTTCATCAACCACCGTCAGTCCTGGTCCGTCTCCCTCCGCACCAGTCAGCTCGTCTTCTTCATGGATCGGAATGATCGACTGGCCACTCTTGGTAACCGGAACCAGGTAGACCCCCACCAGAACAAAGCGGCCCTTCCCAAGTTGGTCGTCTGCCAGCATGAGCGGCCCTGCAGTGTCGATCGACAGCGTATACGCTTCGGCATGTGGGATCCTCTTGTGCGCCCTGCCACGTGACGCAGCGATGACACAAGACTTGCATTCTCTGTTGTAGGGCAGATGCCCGTTCAAGAGATGTCTTTTCCAGGCCTCCAGGTCCATTCGCTTCACCTGGTTCACCGGGGAGTTCAGGGCCTCCCGAATGGCACTCGCCAGTGCCTGCTTCAATCCAGGCGCCCACGCCGACCAATCTCTGCTCTGCTTGATTCTCTCGGTCAGGTCCTCCGCCAGGGCAGCGTCTCCTCCGCTTCCATGTCCACGGATGTCCTGCAGCTCAGCCAGCCGTGGGATGTTGGTTCCCAACCTCGTGGGCTTTCTTCTCGAGTGCCCCATGGGTCCTTGGTCAAAACCGACCTCCATCAAACCCCATCGATCTCTGACAGCCCTCCATTCTGGCCAGCTCCAATAGGACGGGTACCTGTGGGCTGCCTTCTCTTCTGCCTTGAGGTATTCCTCCGGGTCCTCGGGCTGTTCCAGCGCCGCCAGGGTCACCTTCGGGCCTCGAGCCAGTGCTGCGCGATGGTGAAGATACAGCTGCCTCAGGAACAGGACCGTGTCATCCTCCACCTGCTTCCGTAGGTAGCGGTCCAACTGCGGCAGGCCAAATCGGTATGGACCCTCTCGTTCCCTTAATGGTGGAGGTCCCGGCTGCTTGAATCTCAGTCTGCTCATCGTCCGACATGGAGGACCTCCCAGCAATGCACACACCGTCCCACCATCAGCCAAGTCGAGCAGGTAGGAAAAGATGTCGTCTCGCAGGAGGTTCATTCCCTGGTCGATGACCGTGTCAATGCAGAGGACTGCTCGACTTTCCGCTTCCAACTCCCTCTGCCAGAATTTCTTTGAGTCTCCACTGAAAAGGTGGATCACGACCTCCTTTGCCCTCCGGACTCGCCTTCTCTCATGTCGATGGCAAACCCTCGCCGGTCCAACCCTTCTTCGGGAGCAATCTCTCCAGGATATGGTGTGGGACTTCCGGGAAGAGGTCCTTCAGCTCGGTCAGATGCCTCGCCTCCTCAGGGTCCACGTCCAAGCCAATGTCCTCCCCAGCCAGATGGGCCAACCGGGCTCTCTCCCGCACCATACTTCGTTCGATCTCCTGGATCAGCTCATGGGCCAGTGCCTCATCAATCGTGGGGCACGAATTCTCCACCTTCGTGTCCAACACCAGGCCAGTTGGGTCCGTGAGCTCGAACCTGGTCTTCTCCCAGACCGCCTCGTAGCCCAAGGAAATGAGCACCCCCAAAGGGACAATGACCTGCACATCCTCCTTGGTCAGCAACGTTCTCGTCCACGGGAGCAACCTCAGGACTGCTGACCCTGCGGCCAACTCTACATTGACCTCCTGGGCTCTCGCCCATTCCTCTTCTGAAGAGGTTCTCCTCAAACAGTGGGTAGCTCCTCCGTCCAGAAGCGCCCTTCCTCCTTCTCGAACTTCAAGACTGCTCAGTCGAATGGCCTTCATCGATGAACTCGGCCTCAAACTCTTCAATAAAGTCGTAGCTTCATTCAGCAGGTCCTTCATCTCCCCGGAAGTTCCCGCTCCCTTGTCGCCTTCGCTGGACAGGCTGTGCTCCATCGGCTCACTCCCCCCAGTCTTGGGCCCACCATCACTCGTGTCCCCCTTTGCTTGAGCCGTGGTGACCTTCTCCTTGATGGCTTTCACGGCCTGCTTCTCTGGCGAATCCTTCACCTTCGCCTTTGTGGTCGGGCAGTCCCTCTTCGAGTGGCCCGTTCCGGAGCACCCAAAGCACCTCCCCTTTTTCTCCAGCCCGCTCCAATCGTGCTTGAAGCGACAATCCTGGCCTTTCCTGCACCCATCTTCAGTGCCCCAGAACCGACAGACCTTCTCCTCCGGCTTGTAGGAGCCACCACCGGCTTCACCTCAGGGGCCGGCTGCAACTCACTGATGGCCAATGATTCAGCCTCTGCCGTCAGCATGTCAGCAAAGCTCAGGACAGTCTCCAGGGTCGGAGTCACGTCCACACCCAGAGTGGCGCGGGTAGAGGACATTCGGAATGCCACCTGATTGGACGTTTTCCCCACCAGCTCCGACATCTTGTCCAGCGCCCCGAGCAACAAGGTGGCATCCGGAGTTGCTATCTCCAGCTCCTGTGCCCTCCTCAAGCTTCGTCTCCATCCCCGAAGTGCCTCCGTCACCTCATTCATGCTCTGGGGTGCCTTAGGATCAACCAACTGGCGGAGCAACCGGGACCTCTCTGCCAAGCCTCCAGGTTGGTACCTCCGGAACAGGGCGTAGAGGACCTCCACCAAGCTGGTAGTCCTGCTGGCCAAAATCTCCGCCTTGATGCTCTGCGGCACTGCATTGATCAACATCAGCTGACCTCGTTGTTCGAGTCGACTCCAAACCCCGGAGCACTCAGACGGAAGTCTCGGCCTGATGTAGAGTCTCTGTACCGGCTCTGCTTGAAGCCATTCGCGGTATGCCACCATGGCGAAGTTCAGCACGTCCTCCCACCATTTCCAGCTTGTGGCACTTAGATCCTTCATCGTGGGCGTCACCAGCTGGATCCAGTCTCCCAGGATCAACGATCCCAGATCCCCTTCTCGAAGGTCTTGTAGAGGTGGTAGTTCCACAGACCGAATCACCTCTGCCCACTGTCCCTCCGTCGGGCTGGTGCCAAGCTGTCTCAACACCGACTGAGCTGCTTGCTCAAGAGGGGATCCCTTGATCAGACCCTTCAGACCTTCTCCACTCCCACTAGCCTCTCGATCAGCTTCTCGATGGTGTCCATCACATAGTCCCCACCCTCCGACACCCCAAGAACCGGGCACTTCAGGAACTCCCGAACCCCGAGATACTTGGTCTCTCCTCATAGTGTCACCCTTCACGGATACCGGGAACTCTGGAATCTGCAAACCGGCCCACGCCTGATCTGAGTCCTCCTTCTTTCCCTTCACCGGTGTGCACGGAGGAGGATCCTTTGGAGGTGAAGGCGGTGGGGTGGTTGCTGGAGGTTTTGGTGCATCCTCGATGGCCCCCCTAGGCTTCACTCTCGAGTCCTTGACCTCCTTCCTCAACTCCCCAACCTCCTTCTTCAGGGCGGCATTCTGTGCCATGACTGCTCGGAGGAGTTCCTTGATGTCCATTGAAACCCCCCGTTCCTCCTCAGTGGGCTCCACCCGTCCAGAGGGTTGGGGCACATCAGCTTCTCCATCCGGCAACGCTGAAGGTCGCATCGCCCTCAGCCGCGCCTCTGCCTGCATCCGCTCGCTCCAGAAGGGGTTGATCTGGACAGCCTTGGACGCGTCTCCCTTCCCTTTCCCAGGATGTTCACCTCGGCGTTGAGGTCCGTAGGTCATCGGCGGACCATGGGCCGGCACCAGCGCCGTCGAGGCTGGCACCAAAGCGTCAGTGGCATCCTCCAGGGCCAAGATCTCCTCTTCCTTGGCGCTCTCCATCGAGCCCTCCTCTGGCGTGCTGGCCGCGTTCGCCGCAGCGCCAGCCGCCCCAGCCGCAGCACCAGCTGCCGCGCCAGCCGCTCCAGCCGCCGCGCCAGCCGCCGCGCCAGCCGCTCGAGACGGCATGGGAGCCAGCGACCAGTCCTCCCTCGTGGAGGTACTGGGTGGTCTTCAAGACCGAACGGTTGGGCTCATAACCTACGTGAGCGCGCTGCGCTCTATTTTGCGCACAAAAAGGGCTTCAGTATGTAAATATGCTTGATCATAGCCTTAAGGCCTTGACCTGGCTGGTGTGCAACCTTCTACACATGTTCATAGCCAAAAGGTCGTGACCTGGCCTCCGAAACTTGGTACACTTCTATTTGTGCACCCACAGAACCAATCCCTAGGTTTTGAGGTGCCAAGGGCTGTTTGGAGCGCCTGGCCAGGAAGAAAAAGTAGGTCACCGTGGGAAACACTCCCATCTCCACATGGGACGAGCACGTACAAATGGCCGGACGACGGCTGGGAGTATAGGGCATGTCCTTTGTATGCCAGCAGAGGTTGAAAAAAACCCTATACACTATCCTATAGGTCCTAGTTCAGGGGAACACCACATCTTGCCTCCACTTGGGCATTTTCATTGGATGTCATTTCAGTGAGCTCACATCAAATCACCGCAGGCGCCCCACACCGCCTGGTGCAGTTCTTCCAGGCGCCCAAACAGGTCGGCCACGGTCACAATCCTGGAGACGGCGAGACGAGGGGCCCCAGTCGACCCTAAGAAACGTCCGGGCACCCATGTGGCACGATAACGACAGCGAAGGATAACGACTGTAGAAGGATAACAAGGATTCAAACTACCCTTCATTAGAGAAAAACATGTAGAATCCTCCAATCTACCAGAAATCTTGGATTTCGTTGCTTAGTGCTCGGTCAGTGCCGGTCACCGCTTTTTGCTTGATCGCGCCAGGGCACACCGGCGACGCAATGGCATCGGGATCCGGCCGACGAGGTGGAGGACCTCCCGGTCGAAGCGAAGCGAAAAGCGAACTTCGGCTCCGGTCGATGCGCGGAAATTCTCCAGATCCCTCCTTCTCTAACTTCATTCTAGATCTTGGAATATTTCTCAGGATCAATCTGGTAGGGATATTTTTTGGAATGTATCGGAATCCGTTCATTTAAATATATACGAATATATATAATATATTATATATATATATAGTTTCTCAATGCCACATCATCTTGAGAGAGTTCCTAAAGCGCTTGTGGAGTTGGCATGCTTCGACCTGAACAGCCTCGGTCGGTCGGCCCTCGGCCTGCCATGATATTCGTGCTCTCTCTTCGCAGCTTCTCATCCTGGGCTCGGACCGGACGGGTGCATACACGGAACTCACCAAGCCAACTAGTCTAGTCAACCGGAACTAGCAAACAAGTCTTAGTTCAAGCAAGCAAGCAAGCAAGCAAGCAAGCAAGCAAAGCAAGCAAAGCAAGCAAAGCAAGCAAAGCAAGCAAAGCAAAGCAAGCAAAGCAAGCGGTCACTTGCATTTGCAAATGCAAGGCGAACAAGTCTTATCAGGTTCAATGATTCTTCAATGCCAAAGCCTAGGCTTCTGACCGGTCCAGCGGCAGCGGGTCCCACGCACTTCTCGCAGCTGGATAAGCCGCCCATGATCGAGGGACCGGCCGCGGGTTCGGGAACTGATGGAAAGCTGATCCGAGGTGCGGCCTTTGCAACACTCAACTGGCTGGAGTGTTAACAGCTTTGCAAGACCGAAACCCACCAACCAACCATCTCCAAAAAGGTCCTCAATCCTTGTCATCGCACAACCGGGTTGAACGAAAAAACCAAAAAAGGTCGTAAAGGGGCTCTGTGGGTCAGGTGGGAGTCCCACCGGTGAAGTTGCCCATCTTGCCATTGAAACTCCTGATCCATGAGGCGATGGCAACTTCACCTGATTCTGAGTGCTAATAGACCCATGTCTGCTCCCAAAAAAGGCAGGTCTGATATGGTCCGATAGGATTTCTGTTTGGAGCATGGCTCTGGAGTCTTGGTATCAACTGCTCATCATCGCTCTCCACACGTGGACGAGCGACTCATTGAGGCGGGCTAAAGGCATGGGCACCACTTCAGTGCCCAGGTTCTTCGAGCCGACGCTGAGTGACAAAGCCATTTGAGTCACAGGTGGGGTCCCTCCTTTCCATCATGTCTCATAATCTACACACATATATGTGTGTGGGCAATGCTGAAATGTTGTATATAAATAAGAAGGATGCATATGTATATATATAGTTATTCATATATGTACTATTTTTGACAAGCAAACAATATGACATTAATATGATATTTTTTTTTCCCCTCTGTGGAGGTCCAGCCGTCCAGCCCCCTCGCTGATCCTTCGATTCACTTTCCATTCTAGTTGAACCTGGTCAAACACCTCATGGCGGCACTCGTAGGCACGCTCTAGCATCATTGGATACCATAATTACATACTATAAGCCATCCTGGAGAGGTGGCTCTCCGCAGCTATCTTGCCTTCAACCACCTTCAAACCCCCTACCAACTCCTTCAAAGCCAGGCCCCTGGAAAAGGTTCTACAAGCACTTCACCATCGGAACCCTCCCGGGCATCCCAGCCAGATCAAGACGGTAGACCACTTGCTTCCCGCCAGTCCTAGGAAGTCGTCGCCGGTCCCACGTGATGACCATACCAGGAGGACGAGGAGGTGGCAACGTATCACGTAACACATCACAATTCGAACAAATCGCACTTACAACATTGTTTGTTGGTTTCTTCACTTTGACCCCAGAGCCATGTTGTGGCTACACACGGACCCGTCCTTCGTGGAAGTGACCCTTTAGCTCTAGAAACAAGGTACGGTCGAGCCACTGGAGCCTTGAAAGACATGGGAGGAGAAGCTACAAATGGTGAGCCAGTTTCTCAAAGACATGTGAGGAAAAAACACATTTTGAGGCGTACACGATCTCACGATCTCGATGTCGCACGGACAATCTATAACACACACCGATAGGACTCAGGACCGGTCTCTGACACCCGGGAAAAGCTGCTGAAAAAGTGGAAGCCTTGAGACCCCAAGTTTCGGCCGGAAGAAATCACCGAAGATGATATGACCATGGGCGAAATCCGCAGCTACTCAGAAAGAGAGAAGTTACCCAAGCTGTGCGCTGCCTTGCATCTGAATGGTTGTCTCTACTCGACCTCTAGATACTCACTATTGAGTGAGAGCTTGTCCACGCAATGCTTGCTGTTTTTACAAGCCGTCGTGTGCGGGCAGGGTAGGAGATACAGTAGCACTCAACATGTTGAGGCTGAAAACTCTTAAATTCAGTTAGTTAGTTCAAAACATGCTAAAAATTACCTGAGCAAGATCAAGATGGTCTAAAAAAAGAATGGGAGGAAACGAATATGAAGGTAAACCCAAAGGCTACGTTTCGCAGCTTCCTGGGCCTTCCCACTCAGCTTGGACTTCCCATGTGCCCACCTCGAGGCGGCATGGTCAGTTCGGCCGGCCACCCACCATCAGCTCAGGTCGCGGTCGGAGAAAGAAACCCTTTAAACCTTAGAATCCCTTTCAGACGCTCAGAGTGGTGATTCTTTCGAGATCTTCGAAGAAGTGTCGTTCGCAGTCGTTCGCATCAATCTAACCCTTCAGTGTCCGGCCACCGTTTGCTTGAGGAGTTGGTGCTCCAAGGCATACATCAAGCAGCTGCGGCGCCTCGGGTGGCGAGGCACATCCGTCACGACGGGTCAGGCTGCCCCATGGCACCGGGGGACCCTGGGGGTTCTTCCCACGGAACATGAACCGAATAGATGACCTACAGGAGCTCAACCTACCAGGCTTTCCGGGCGAAAACGGATGCCACCACCCACTGCCTATGCCAGCACCTGTCGGGGTTCAAGCCGCGGAGGTGTTCGGTGCATCGCGAAGGCGCCAAGGCCCACACAAGGTGGCGAGAAATGGCTCAGCCCCAACAGACACTGGTCTCCCATGCCTTGGTTTGTGCGGATTTGCAAGGCAATGGTGGACTGACCGGGTCGCCTTTCCAAAACATGTTTGGAGAAGGCGCCTTTCAAAGCGTCCAGGGCCCAGCCACTTTCCAGCCATGTACAGTAAGCACACTGAGCATGGAATGCATGAGGTTGAGGCCACTTGGGTGCTGACCCTAGCCTACCTATCGCGGAGTGACATCATGGGTGCCCTCCAGGATTTTCCAAGCCCCCTGCTCCCTTCTTCCTTTTCTCCGAACTTTTGTCAAAAAGTTCAATCTCTTAACTTCAGAGTCTCTCCAAAGCCCCGCACGTTTCATCCCAACTGGCAGTCCCGCTGTCCCCCTGGCCAAAGTAAAACATCGGGCACTCGGTGGACGATGGTCAATACAGTACATGTACATACAAACCAGTGCCAAAATTAGTTATAGTTATAATCTTCTGTTGGAGGTTTGTGAGTGGCATGAGTGGTAAAATCATGTAAAATCCCAAACACTGACCTTATTAAAGTCAATGAGCAGCGCCTCAGGCGCCCTGAGTGCTGGAGTTTGATTGGCATCTGCCTGGCGTAGGCGGCTCAAAGCAACTCTGTACTCTCTATATACTTGTTTACTTTTCTTGTTCTCGTTTTCAGGTGTGTGTGACCACTCTAGATCCCACTGATTCGTTGTGCCCGAGGTTAGCTGAAGCTGTGCCCGAAGCAAGCAGCTTCAGCTGACATTCATCAACGCAAGAACAAAAGGAAGCAAACGCTGACGCGGTTGCTGCTTTTGTTCTCAGAAGTCCTCTTGTGTGTGTGTGTTGCCTTGGGTGTTGAAGCACAACATTGGATGACCACCATGTTGAAGGCTGGAACATGTCGGAACAATTTGAACGGTGCCATGTTTTCTCTATGATTGCGTCTAGAGGCTTGCGTGTCCCACTGACAAGTTGAATTAACGTAACCACAAGCGACCAATTCATGCACAAGGCTGACAATGATTCTCAATCATGGTTCCACTTGAGCCGATACCGGCAATTCACACACCTAAATCTCAACGCATCACCGAATCCGACACTCTGGTTGGTTGGCACAGTAATGATTCATTGACCCGCCTCCTTGTGGATCTTCTTCAAGTGTGCCAACCTCAATCTTCCCGTTTGCTTCGGGGTCCTACCTTCCGTCCTGAGAAACTGGAGCGCAGTCTAGACCACATGTTTCGTTGTCCCTTTCTTCGGTTGAGGGTTCATCTTCCATCCCGAAAGGGGGCCCTGCAAATGCTTCATCAATCCAGCGCGGCATCCCGTGTTCTCCATGAGCTCTTTCACCTCCTCGCAAGGTTCCGCGAAGACATGGAAAAACAAACAAACAAATAGATCGATAGATCGCTCACCAAGCATCATTGAACTTCAACCCCGGAAAGTTTCCTCTTGCAAATTGGAGCTGGTCCCTCATGAAACACTAAGATTGAGAGAAGATGGCAGACCCCCCAAAGCGTGGTTCAAACGGAACCCCCGTCTAACACACATCTTCGGTCTTTGCCCTCTACTCCTTGGAACAACTGTACCTATGATTGCATTGCCGCCTTGACCTTAACAGCGAGACCCCGAGCGAGAACTCAGCACGCCTGACTCAGCTTCTTGAAGTCAGAGTTGGGCACCATCTCCCTGACCATGCTTGACCATGCTATTCAGTAGCATCAATCTTTTGACACGCCCATGCGCTTTGAGCATGAAGGAATTGGAAGGAACATGTCAATAGATAGGCACATTTGCCGGACCCCATGTGCCTTCCCATCTGGCGTCTCTCTCTCTCTCTCTCTCACCCCAGTGCCTCCGCATGTTTTGCACAAACGCCACCACGTGTTCCTGGATTCTTGGCACGAATAACGTCCCATCAGCCTGAGAGCCGCGAAGAAGGGGTCCTCTCCGGGTCGTTTTCTGGGGTCCGACGCGAAGACAGAACACACCAAGGAGGGGCCATCACTCTCAGGTTGGAGGCCATCGCTCTCAGGTTGGAGAGGAACTGGAGATCCCTAGAGGTCCGGCACGGACATGTAAAACTGGAGTTGGTCAACTTCTAGCTTCACACGACTACCCCAGGAGGACAAGGGACCGGGGAACCACTGCGTCAGAATGGACCCACTAAAAGGGTTTGAAGACATATCATAAGCACAAACACGTTCATTCAAATATATGACTACTTAGTTTCTGCTTGCTTGCTGGTAAATCAGTCGTTTCTCTTAGTACCTTGGCAGTTCTCAACTTGAGGTTCTGAATTCGGGCTTTGGATCCAGTCCTCCGTTTTGGCCACAGGTCACCTCTCCAGCTCTCTCCGGCCGTCTCGCACCATCACACCGTGCCTCCCACACACGCTGCTGCAAAGTTCGGGGTAGGTCCGCCAGTCTTAGACGACCAAGTTCGATGGGGTTCGGTTCTGATTTTTGCGGCGCCTACTAAAGCATACACGACAAGAACACGGAAGCGTGTGGGGGATTATATTGGCATTCCACGATATGAACGATCACCGCACTTGGTTTTGGTGGCTGTGTGGGGGGGAGATTGTAAGGCTTGTGGAACTGTAGCACCTATCTATCGCTTTGCCGAAGTTGCACTCAAGGAGCTGAAGTTGCACTAAAAGCCATATGGGCTCCAGTTCATCGCAGTGACACAACAGTCAATGGGACTCAGTGTTGCCTTCTTCTCTTTGAACCCGTTCCTTAGCCCGAAGCTCCTGAGTAGACCTGGAGCTGAACAAGCAGGCAAATCCAAGCACTTTCCACCCATCTCGTCTTCCAATCCCTTCTCTTCTCTCGTGGCTGCTTGCTTGCTTTTGTGCAGCTACTTGCTGGACAATTCGTGAATCTATATTGCTATAGTGGATGCTGTTGGCAAACATCGCGTACATCGTACTGTCGAACTAGCCATCACTGTCTCAGTGTCCAGCTGTGCAATGGACCAGAGCACCTGTGCTCCAAACCATTTCAAAAGAGAAGTAGCTCTAAGACTTCAAAGACATTGAGGGTGTTCAGGTCACGAAACGGTGCTTGGGGAGGCTGGTTGGTTCCTCCTATCCTCCATGGCCATAAACATCTTGCTGCAAGGCTGCCAAACCATTCTTGTTTGCTTTGGTGTTTTGACATGCCGGCTCTTCTTCACAGAACATATAGTAACATAGTAGTAACTATAGACTACATATTAGTATATGTACATGGGTAATCATAGGGTCTGTAATTACATCGTTCCTTACATCGTTCTAATGTGCCCATGGTTGCTTTGGAGGGACTGGGACTGCTTTCCAAAGGCACCGACCCGCAGGCTGTACCCGGCACGTGTGCCCCATGCCTTCTCCTCCAGGTCCTTCAGCAAGTCGCTAAAGCACGATCGAAACTTCTCAGCCTCGGCTTCAAACCCTCGGTGGCTGTGTGGCGGTGGCTTCAGCGGCCCAGAGGTGGTTGTTCGTGATCTCTGAGCAACTTGGCCATCCCAGCTTTGGGAGAAGGCAAGTACTGCAACATGCAACAATGGCTGAGTCTTGCAGACGTGCGGCACTCGGCTCATTCAAGCGATGTAGAACGTTCAAAATCACCACAGCCACCTCCAGCAGAACCGTCTAAAAATGTCTAAAAGTAAATGTGCACAGTGTCATGGGTCCCAAGAAGGCTCCAAAACAGCCCGCAGACAGCACGTGGCAACACCTCAGACTGCAGACTGCATGCATTCCGCCAGGTGTAGACTCTATGGGTGTGGTCGAAGAGGGGAAAAAAAACGCGAAAAACACCCGATTCAATCGCCCTGCGCAAGATGGTGGAGTTGGATCGATGAGACGAACGCCCAACGATCTTCGATCCCTGCCTTTGGAGATGCGGCGTGAAATTGCATGTGCCGCAACACCTCGGCCCAGTGCACACACAATGCATGCCACAGGAGCCACGAAAAAAATCACGTCAGAGAATGGTAATCGGCACATGGTCAACTTCACCCTGCATGTTAATAGCTAGCAGCTAGCATGTGTCATAGCTAGCATGTGAGGGACGTCACGATGTTAGAAAAACATTGCACTTGACTTGAGCCTACCTAAGGTAGACAAGCATCGCATAACAGTCCTAGTCGCCATTTAGTCAGTCCTAGCAGTTGGACTTTCCATGCCTCCTCTCCAAAGGTCTCAAAAGATTTGCTTCTGCACAAGTTCAGCTCACCTTCTCCACTGCAGCTGGCAGGCCACGTTTGAACTCCTGTGCCTCAGCTATGGGGCGTGGCTCCATGGCTATCACGCCAAGCTGCGGCAAAATCTGCAGGCAAGTTTGATGAGTGAGGCTCAAGAATGCACCTAGTAGCGATGCCAGGAGCCCCTAGTAGCGTCCTTGCTCCTAGTAAGGCCAGGAGCCCCTAGTAGCTTCTTGTTCCATAGTAGAATGTGAGGCCCAAGCCAGCAAAGAAGGGAGCTCCGAAAGAATCTGCCTGAAGACCTCGCCAGTCGTCCTGGGCGAGGTTGGAGCAGACCGACTTGTGACTGTTTCAGGACTTGGCTGATGACAGGTGCTGAGCTGATTCACTCAGCCATGGAGTTACGGAGTCACGGGTTCAGGCGCGAGTTCAGTCAGGGACTCTCCTTCATTCGTTGATTTGGTTGTCTTGCGCATCCGTTCCTGGGTCAACCGAAGTGATCCCGTATACAGCCCTTGTATGAACGTCTCATTGTGCAACACAGAAGCTGTTCCACCATTCCGAATGGTGCCTAGATCCGCTACGGCTATGCAAGCACAGTCGTGCTCAAGCTGCTGGAAAGCTTCCAGCTCTGAACGGGCTGCCAAGTGGCCGGCCCATGCAACACATGAATTCCAAGGCAGGCTGCAAGCCTCCCAGGCGGAGGAATCCGCCAAAACGACACGTCCCGCCCCCTCTAGTCACGTCGGGTGCACCGAAACCCAACACCGAACTTCCCCCAGCCGACCATGCGCTTGCGGTCAGCTTGCGCTTGCGCTTGCGGTTGCTCTCCCCCCACTACGCCTGCCACTACGCCTGCCAACTCGCCTGCCACTACGGTACCCCCAGGTACCAGACACTCCGTTCGCGCGCGCGTCGGGCGTTTCAGCTCACCTGGATCAAACGAGAGCTCTTCGGACTGAAGCGCCGCGGCACAGGTCGCCACCTTGGCCGAAAAGAGATAGGCCGATGGGGATCGGTGGGTCCCAACGGGGTGGACGAACAAAAGGAGCGGAGTCAAAAGCCTTGAGACCTTTCTTTGAATCTGGATGAGTCGAACGACATGGGATGGCAAAACCTCTGAAAGAGGCCAAAAATCATGCACCCACATGGTGTTCCCCTCTTTTCACCACGCTGTCAGCCACTTCTCAAGACCGCTCCATCTTTTGCTTCGGGTAAGCGAATGTAGGCGATTCACGTAGAATGAGATGACACGTTTAGGCCACCAGTTGCCTGAAACTCCTCCGAATCTCGTTTGTTCAGGTGTTCCATGTTCCACCCATGACTCTTGGCATGATTCCATTCAGGCAAGAGGCATCATCATGGCACTATTTAAACATCCAAGGTAAGCGAATTCAACCAGCCAAACAGGGACCGCAGAACTCATCGGGTTCCGGGTTGGTGGTCAAATCTGGGACAGCTGTCGGTTTGTTGGATTTGGGTTGGGTTGGTCCGTGCGGTCGCATGCGGTCGATATGCAGGTTCAGGGTTTGGATCTGGATCTCTTCAGTACTCAGTACTCTGGTGCTCGCTTTTTGCTTTCAGTTCTTTGGTTCAATTTGTGGAAGATGCTCCCCTCTTGGCTGTGGCCAATTGGCCCAACGGACAGGCATGCCAAGGCCCACACAGCACGGAATGCCTCTCTGTGCGACACCCTTCCACTTGTGCAGGCCGAGTTCCATGTCTGAACAGACCAGGTTCGGGCCAGATGTGTCTTGAAAACCTGCTACTACCTGCCCCCATAAAACTTGATAATCTTGATAGCTGGCCCACACGATCTTTAGCACGCATCTTTCGCCAAAGAGCAGTGGATGTGTCCTTGATTTTTAGAAAGGACGCCCAGTTTCTGGACCAACCTAGTCAATTTATTGGAACAACTTGAAACTTTCCAGCATGTCAGGGACATTGAGCGGCAGTTTGGTGCCCCTCTCTCATGCCCGGCTCACTGTCTGGACTGGCACAGTCCCATCTTTGCAAGCACCTCTCCTTCGTGTGAAGTCGCATCGCGGAGTGAAGTCAGAAGCTGGGCAAACAGAACCCTACTAGGCCCTACCAGCGGAAACTAATCCAAGTACCATGGGGTCTGAGGTGTGTATTTCACTGCAAGTTGCAGGCAAGTCTCCCTGTTCCACTGATGCATATGTCATCAGTCCGGCAGGCCAGTTGAGCTTTTGGGCCTTAGATCATGTGTGGCGATGCGGAAGGGGCAGCACCAGGCAGCGACTCCCCAGGAAGGGGAACAAATGAAGAGCGAGGCCTTTTCCTCCCCCCCCCCCAGGCCCCCCCCCCCAAAAAAAATACAAAAAAAAGAAGAACGTGCTGAACAATGTTCGCCTCCAAAGTGCATGCATCAAAAGATCGGAGGCATTGGCTCCGGGTTGAGGCAATGGTGGAGGGGGTGGGACCGCTGCATGTGGTGGCAATCCTCCGGCTAAGGGATCTGTTGGTGCCGCATGCTGCTGCATTTGCATCATTGGCATTGGCATTCCTGCCATCACTCCATTCATTCCCGGCAATCCTGGCATATAGTTTGGTGCCATGTACCCAGCATGTGGCATGTGAGGTTGAGGCATATGAGGTGGCAGGTGAGGCGGCATCTGTGGTGGCAGCTGCTGGTGAGAGACCACAGGAGCCTGGTTCGTCACCTGTGACGGCTCAGCCTGGCCCTTTCTCCGGGTCAGTGGATTGGCATAACAATAAACGCAGCCATGGGGGCATTGGAGCGTGTACTGACCGATATCGGTGGATCGAGTGCATTCACAATCCTTCCTCTGTCTGAGATCCTTGGCCAACGACATGAACACCTCGGTTCGTCTCGGGGCGACAGTCGTTCAGTCGAGCGTCGGAGGCGAGAACGACGACGGTCTGTGCCGTTTTCTTCGCCGTTCAAAGGCACAAATGCATGGACTTGGACAGGGAAAGCGCTGTAAATACCGTTTTAAGTGATCACTCACCCGAACCGTTTTCATGGCGGCCAACCGAACCCCAAACGAGAAAAGAGCTCCAGTCATTTTTTTCAAGGCGCATTGAGCCCTTTTTCTCGTGCAATGCGGTCTGCGAGGCGGGCATCCACACACCTTGATTGACCAATCACCGGACAGTTGGCACTGTGCATCCTCTGCTCTTCGCGTTGTGCAGCTGCCAGGGCGCCTTCCGTTTCGCCTGCAGCTTTCAGGGGCACGTTGAAACTCCCTCAATGACAAACATTGCCATTGAAAACACCTGGCGCACCTTTTGCACCTTTTGCCTTGTCCGGGATCTGAAACAGAGCTGCTGCTCCTAGCATCTCCTAGCCATCCTAGCCTTCCTTCCAGACCTGCCAACATCCTCCCACCATCCTCCCAACCACGCGCGACCTCCGCGTCGCTTCCAAGTGACTCTGAGTAATTGGATACCCCACGAGGCCCTTGTCTCCACAACAGCGCATCTGAACACCATAGCGGTGAGCCACGGGCATCAATTTGTCCAAGACCGCGCACTGCTCGGCACGGGACAACTGCACCAACCTGGGCAGACAGGAGAAGCATCCGAAAATCACATTGTAAAACTGCCATCTGCATTGGGCTTTGCCCCGGCACAGTAACAGTGACCACAAATCATACCACAAAAAAACACAGCAATTTGGCCATAGTTGGCATTAGGATGACTTTCATTTGCCCTTTCTAACGCTGGCTACATTAATCATGTGTGTGTGACGCGTGCGTTTGTCTGGCGTCATAAGCATAATATTTATATAATAAGTATATACGTAAGTATATAATATATACATACAGTATATAATATACGCATGTCTATTTATTTATTATATATACATATTGAATATACTGAATATATATATATATATATTATATATATAAAAAATATATACTTATATATATACCCCAAAATGTTTGTACGTTTGCGAAGTAAGCCACAGAGACGAACTGTCAAACAGTCAACGGCTCAAACCGTTCCAGCTCGCTGTCATCAACTTGGACCTCCTGGGCTTCTATCAATTCGTGGCCCAATAGGCTCCAGGAGAGGACCGGCAATTCACATGCTCTTGGCCGGATGATTACACTTGTCCGCCTGACAGATTAGCTGATGGTAGCGCCCGGAGAAAAGAAAATGAGCTGCTGCCAGAGAAAATGAGCTGGGCAGAGCTGGGCTCTGGCAGGCCTGGTAGAAGGGGAGGGAGAGGCCGGGCAGGCCGCCGGAACTGTGGGCGGCCCCGGTGTTCCAAGCCCGGGGGGGGGGGCTGCCCTTTAAAACAAAAGAAAACTGGAGGCCCGCTACTTTAAAAGGAAAATGAAAAAGGAGCAAAGCCACAAAAAAAGGCACAAAAAAAAACACAAAAAAAATGCACAAAACCCACCACAATTTTGTTGATTTTTTTGTGTTTTGTGTGGTCTGATTTGTGCTTCTTTTTTTTGTGGTATGACTTGTGGTTTTTTTGTGATGTGAGTTGTGATTTTTTGTGTTTTTTTTTGTGGTATGACTTGTGTTTTTTTTGTGCTGTTTGTTGTGGTGTGACTTGTGTTTTTTTTGGTGCTCTTTTTTGTGATATGATGTGTGCTTTTTTTTGTGGTATGACTTGTGGTTTTGTTGTGCTTTTTTTGTGGTATGAGTTCTGGTTTTTTGAATAGAAAATCAAAGGTGGGTGGCACGAGACAAGGCCATGTGCATTGATTTTATGACTTTTGTGGTCTGATTTGTGTTTTTTTAAATGTGGTTTTTTTGTGGTATGACTTGTGTTTTTTTGTGCTTTTGGTGGTATGACTTGTGTTTGCTTGTGATCTTTTTTGTGATTTTGTGTGCTTTTTTTTGTGGTATGACTTGTGGTCTTTTTTGTGCTCTTTTTTGTGATATGATTTGTGATTTTTTGTGCTTTTTGTGGTATGACGTGTGGTGTTTTTTGTGCTTTTTTTGTGGTATGACTTGTGGTTTTTTGGTGCTTTTTTTGTGATGTGATTTGTTATTTTTTTGTGCTTTTTTTGTGGTATGACTTGTGGTGTTTCTTTGGTGCTCTTTTTTGTGATGTGACTTGTGATTTTTTGTGCTTTTTTTGTGGTATGACTTGTGGTTTTTTTGGTGCTTTTTTTTTGTGATATGATTTGTGCTTTTTTTTGTGGTATGATTTGTGGTCCAGGGCGGAAGACAGCCACAAAAAAAAGCACAAAAAAACACGGGGATTTGGGCAATTTTTTTGAAAATTTGGGGTGGGGAGCCGGGAGCGACAAGGTGGGGAGCCGGGAGCGATGGGTGGGGAGCCGGAAGCCAGGGGGTGGAGCAGGGAGCCAGAGCCAATTTGGACTTGGCTCTCATCCTGCTCCCAGTGTAATCACAATCTCCCTTCCTTTCTTTCTTTCCTCTTTCCTTTGGCTGTGACAGCACGCAATCCTGGCCACCTGCTACCGTTCCAGTCTTGAGCCATCATATCATATCATATCATATCATATCTTTTTATGGACATATCGTCGTTTCATATTTTGTAATTATGTAGATACGATATATGTTATGGTCAAAATATGAGAATATGAATATGCTTATGGAGTGTTGAACTATTAAATTTATTATGAAATTATATACTATAATATAATTTAAAATATCGAACAGAACATCATATACGGTCACCTACAGTGGTGAAAGGTGGACTGTATGGTATACTTCGACCCACTAAGTTGTTGACGGTCTACCGGTCCACCACCTGTCAGTCTGCATGAACAAGAGATTAATCTTGTGGTTAAGTATCAATCATTCTTTGAATTGCCACTTGAGATTGACAAATTAGTGAAGGGATTGGGATGATACTGGTTGTTGTTGGTTTGCAATTATGTTGAGATTTGTGTTCTTTTTGAGTTAACCCGCCCACTACTCCAATCATTTTGCGTTTCCTAGACCAGAAATTACAATCAAATTTCCTTTAATGACTTTGAATATGATTGTTGTTTTTGGGGGTATGGTTTAAGGGCCCTGACCCTTTACGACTGTTACTGTGGGGGGGCAGGGCCCAACATCTGCAAATGTCAGGGTGCAAATGTGCTCCAACATCTTGCATGAGTCAATCTGATGACCTGCTCTGCAAGCCAAAACATCTGCTTCAAGCTGAGGGGCTCTAAGCCTTGAGCTCGCATGTTTCGGACGGATTTGGGATAGGCCTGGCAAAAGCTGAAGACCACGTGATCGACGCCCAAGCTTCCAATATGCCGCACCACCACCTGGACTGGCTGACAGATGCCACTTATGGGACTCAGGTTGGACTGAACAATGCATAAAGGGATTTCAACAAGCAGCCCTTCACCCCAAACTCCAGCATGAATTATGTACACATATATAAATATATTATAGAGAGAGAGAGAGTCATTATAGTCATATCATGTCAGATCTAGTCGCTACTGTATGAGGGGTAGACTGGCTGGAAGTTGGCTTGATGAATCGAACCTCTTCTGATGTAGCTTGGTCTTGCTGACTGATCCACCTGGTCCTTTCCTTTAAATCATGGCTCTTTTCCTGGTTTTTTTGCCCGCACTGAACCCGAATGAGCAGACCACTGACCACCCCCACTTGCCCCCTTCCTCCCCCCCCTCCTCCCCATTCCATTCTGAATTCCGACCTCGAAGTCCTTGCCCCCTTCCTCCCCAGAAGTCGAATTCCGACCTCAAAGTCCTTGGTGTTGTCCATGATCGGCCCCCCCACGATGTTCCGGTAGTGGACGATGGGATCGAAGCGCGGTGACACGGCATGAGCTCCGAAGGTCTGGACGAGGAAGGTCAGCTGCCCCAAGCGTTCCTCGGCGGGGCGGCCACGTGGAGGGTTCGTGGCACCCCAAAACAGGACCCCTGTTTCAGGCCTGTTTCAGGGGAGGACGTGAAGAATAGAAGTTGAACAGGAGCTGTTACGTCCTGTCGAGATCTAGATAGCAAGTTGATATAACATCTAGGAATCTGAGGAGCTCTTGTTTCTACGACGGTCATTGATGAAGCCGATGGCCGATGATGAAGCTTCCCGTGCTTGACCCGTTTGACCCTGTTTGACCTTTGCACACAGGAAGCACCCGTGGGGTGGCTCTGGACCCATGCGGAAGGTCCCACGAGTCAGGCTGCACTGTCAAGCTAAGGCACTGTCAAGCTGGTATCCACACCAGGCTCCAGTGCCAAATTCTCTGAGTTGATCGTGTAATTGAAGAGATGCACCGGGTAGCCTGGTGTTTCCATGTGTTTCCGCCCCAAGAGTCGACCGTGGGGAAGGGTTTTCCGGTGTTTCAATGCACTGGACCGGGTGCAACATGCTTCAGGTGACGGTAGCGACTCGCTCACCGATGGCGGCCCGAGACTAGGCTCTACGAGGATGAGGATGGGAAAGAGGGCCCCCTTACGGATGTTCGGACGGTGACCATGAACACGGATGCGCTGAGTGAAAAGAATTGAAGAACAATCATGATGACCTCCGACTGTGGAATCTGATCTCTGCCCCGCAAGACTTGTGACAAGAATGTGAGCATTGCCAGATTGGATGGATGACATGAGGAAGCAGTCGCATTTGTAAGCCACATGTGCAGAATTCTCAATTCTCATGGGATCTCATGGGCACACCAATCTGACCTCTTTGCACACCAATCTGGGCCATTTAGTCCCTCCAAGTGGCGATGCAAGACACTGTCGGGCTTTTGCCACGCAGCAATCCACTTCCTCAAGGAGTGGCACATGGTGAGGGATGGTTGTGAACAAGTTTCAGGCCAAACTCAATACGGCAATGACACAGAACCTGGCAAAATACATCCAGCATGCTCAGCATGCTGCCTCCTTCAGCCAAGACTCTTGTAATTCTTGGACCACCAACTGATACACATCACCCCCTTGCCAGTCTGAGGATTGTATGGCTGCACGCACACCGCCCGCACAATCGGGTTCTTCCGAGGACCAGAAGCAATGTACATGAAGCCATCTGCGGAGCAGGGTGCTGGAATTCGCGACAACCATTGTATAACCTCTGGCCTTCCAAGACAATTAAAAGAACGGTTGACCTGGTTGTTCTGTGGAAGGCTTGTTAAATCAATCGTAAGTTGGACTCCTAGGGCTAAGTAACTAATAACTAACTAAGTATATCCAATGTCCAACATGATCCAACTAATATATAACCCGAGAAATGCATTGGAGATCGCTCTCTGCCTGTGTCTACCTTGATTGATCTACGTTGTCGGTCTGACTCCTAAAATACGTTGGGGAGTGATCTGCTGGAGGCTCCTTCTGGTGAAGGTCACATCACGAGAAATGCGCCTTCTGCACGACTCAGAACTCCTGAGCCTCTTCAACCCACGAAGGCAAAGACACCAACACACCCAACATGAGCTGTGATCTCGGGAGCCCTGCCAGCCTTCAAAGCCATTGAGGTATTGTCGCAAGAAGCCCCAAGGTACATCAGTTCGTCGAGAACCTGGAGAAAGGGGGTCATGATGCCTTCACAGCTCGACGAACGGGCGTTTGAAAAAAATGCCGGGGAAAGGCTTTTTTCTCAGCTGATGGTCAGATGACTCATGATGACACACCGCAGCAGCTCCGCGGAAAGGCCAAGGGGCAAGAGATGATCAGCGGAGGGTTCCGCCCGGCCACCTGGCGATCTTCCTCCATGACTTTCATACCGAAGCGTCGAGGCTTGTCCTTAGGCGCCCAAAGACAAAGAGGAGGACAAGCGCTTGTAGAAGTGCACCCTCACTGACTCACCAAACAGTATATATATATATATAAATATAAACATACATGACATATATGATACTACCCGGCCAGGGCCAGCACGTCCCCCTCTTGACATAGACTCTCTGGCATGGGCCCTTGGAAGCCAACAGCTTAGACGTGTCATCCACTTCCATGTGGAGACGTTCGGAGGGCGAACCCGCAGCGTCGCTCTGAGTGCTTCCGCAGCGACGCTCGGGGGCGGCACATCCCGCGCTTGACGCTGGCGGAAGCGCCGCGGCGAGTCGCTCCGCGGGCGGCGAGGCAGGCTGCGGCGGTCGTCGAACCTGGACCGAAGGTGCCAGGTGCGCGGCCAGAACTGCAAGGTGTTCCCCTTTTGTATGCGGAGCAGCCCAAAAACCTGGATATCTGGAATGAGTATGAATGAGTTAATGACTTGAGTGATGAATTGTTTTCTTCTCACGTGAGAACAGATTGAGTCGTGAGCATCTTTGACGTCTTATTGTAAGTGACCTTCATAAATGGGCGCAATGTCACCACACCCTCTCTGCTTGATTACCCCTCATGCCGGACAGCTTTGCAACCGAATCGTTTGGTTCTAAAATCGCGGTGCAGCATAGCTCACAGCTGAAACTCTGCGAGCAATCTATCCTCTGTCTATCCCCCTGCACTGTGAGATCCTTGATTTAGTGCATTTGGTCGAACCGCTCTCAACTGAACTTCACATGCCCGTTCGCACCCAAATTCACACTAGAACCTCCCAGAAGCTGTGCTTACGCAGAACAAAACCATACTCTCGTTCTCCCCGCCTCCGCCGATCCTCCGGAATGCGCCGGTCGTAGCGGTCGAAGCGCTCCCGGCGACGGTCGCACCGGTCTGGAGAGCGACGGTCGCGGCCGCGGCAGTCCGGAGAGCGACGGTCACGACGGTCAAATGAATGATCGCCTGAGTGAGCAGGTGGCAAATCAATGCAGGATCACAGATTCCATGTAGGAGATGTGTTTTGCCCCACATGTACGAGGTGTGGTGTGGGGTTCTTGTTTTTTATATCTGCATTCCGTTCCTCGCCCTCCTCGTCCTCCTCGTCCTCGTTCTCGTCCTCCTCCGCCACTACATCACTCTCACCACACCAACTCTCACCACATCAATTCTCAACTCTCACCACATCATCATTCACACAACATCAACTCTCACCGTCCTCCTTGATCACCTCTCACGATATCACCTCTCACCACATCACCTCTCACCACATCAATCCTGACCTCACCACATCAGTGGCAAGTGCAGCACTTGGAGCACCTCAGGCTCGATTTGCCTGGCAAGAGCAGCACTCGGACCAGATCCATAGAGGTGAGCGGAAGTCTGGCGACGTATGTATGTATGTATGTATGTAGGTAGGTAGGTAGGTATGTATGGATGGATGCATGCATCTTCCAGGCGCTCACCCCTTCAGCTTTTTATCTTGTTGACTTCATGTTGCTCTTCCAAGTATATCAAAAAACAATGTCTGTCTGCGATTTCTTTTTGTTTCCATGTCATATGGTCAAAGTTAAAAGATTTTTGATCTAGTGATCGTTAAAGAAAAATAACATGTGGGGTTATCCGGTCCTACGATTCATGGGATGGCCGTAAGAATCCAAATGAGTTCGCTGACAGGGCAACGGTTTGCGGTTTGGGGGGGTCAGTGCGGGCACAATATATTCATTCAGGATATGCATCTCCAAATCCATGTGAAACAAACAGGGCTCCAATGGATTCATATATATCATAATGTTCAATATGGATTGAAAGTTCCAAGAATACGGGATGCAGGACCTATGAATCATCCGCCTCAAACAATTACCAGATATCCGCCGACCCCTGCTCTGGCGAAGGCAGGGGCGGCGCCTGGGACCACCGAAGGTGTGGAACCTGAGCTCTCCAAATCCTTACTTTTCTGGGCCCGAAAGCAAAAGCGCCAAAAGTTCGCACTTGCTAGACTGTGGGCTCTGGGCTCTGTGCCAGACTGTGGGCCATACTGGCCTCAAACCCCTCAAACCCCTCAAACGCTCCGACACTTGCCAATGGTTGTGCCATACGTCTGGATTCTGAACGCTTCAGACGCTCCATGGATGCTTCAGACGCTCCAAAACCTCGCACTTGCTAGACTGTGGTCTCTGGGCTCTGCGAGAATCAGACGCTCCAAAACCTCGCACTTGCCAGACTGTGGGCTCTGGGCTCTGCGAGACTGTGGGCGGAGTTGCGCAGGCTGTGGGCTCGTCTGGGCTCTGCGAGACTGTGGGCGGAGTTACGCAGGCTGTGGGCTCGGGGCGCTGGCGCGCCGGAGCAGCCAGCCTCTGGATTCTGGACGCTTCAGACGCGCCAAAACCTCGCACTTGCCAGACTGTGGGCTCTGGGCTCTGCGAGACTGTGGGCGGAGTTGCGCAGGCTGTGGGCTCGGGTCTCTGGCGCGCCAAATCCTTTTTTTCTAGTGACCCGAAACTGCCCTTCAAACGCCTCAAACCCCTCAAACCCCTCAAACGCTCCGACACTTGCCAATGGTTGTGCCATACGTCTGGATTCTGGACGCTTCAGACGCTCCATGGATGCTTCAGACGCTCGAAAACCTCGCACTAAGTTAAATTCATGGTATGTGAGCCTGCATTCACAGCAACTGGCTCTCAAAGTGCTCCACTACCATGCATGTGCATACATGAAGTCCATGATTGCAGGCTGATGGTCTGCATGGAAATTGGTCCATGCATGATGGCTTGCATGGAAATTGGTCCATGATGGTATGCATGGAAACTGATCCAAAACTACTTGCAAGCTGCTAGTATGTAAAGCTACTCAACTCTTCCTGGCCACTGTCTTATTGCACTACAACAAACACACACACACACACATGTTTTTTAGTGTGGTAAAGGACAATTGGGGAAAAATCAAGTGGATCTTACCCGGCAGGAGATGGTTTCACGATGTTTCCCGTCTGTCCGCTTTAGCAGGTGTAGTTTAGCAGGTGGGCCTGTGGGCCTACATCGGATGGCCGTGTCGAAGTGCGCCAGCCGAAAGATCAAGGATGCCAAACAAGATGATACAGGTGGCTTTAAAAGTTAAGATCCACTATTCGACATGCGCAGTTGCATGTCCACGAAGGAGTCTGTTAAGACCCACTGTATGCGGCAGTGGCCGTGGGTCAGAAAGATGTTTGGTCCAGGTACCATGGTATGAAGATTCGACCACTTCGAGGACATCCAACTTCCTTTTGTTTGAGAACAAATAACAAATCGAGAAAGAGCTTCGCAGTCTGAATTTTGGTGTCACCTGAAGGCGTCTGATGTTTAGTGGGCAGTACTACTGTGAGTTTGGCTTGGGTTCTGGGTCGCTCAGCCACGCCCGCCCGGCCACCAGGAGACACAACCACTCCAGAGCATGGCCTAGAAGTTTCAACAAGGCGGGTTTTCTTTTGTGAACATGATTTTGAAGACTTCAAGAAAGCTCCTAGGCCCCGAATCCCAGCTGCCACATCATTGATTTTTCCAGAAGCGGTCAACCAATTCGCTTCCACGTTCGGTGCCATTGCAGGCCTGGCGCCGGCTGCAAGTCACATGTGGCAGGGCACCCCAAGAATCTCAGCCTTGCGCTGCCTGTGTGTTCTACCTTTGCACCTTTCTGCAGTTTTCTCAGTCATCAGAGTTCATCCGCAGCTGTGTCCAGGGTCACAAATATGACGACTCCACAGGAGCTAGAGAGACTGCTCAACAGAAAGCGACCGGCTTCATGCGCAGCTGGCCTTCCAAAGAGTCAGCGCTCCGTAGCCAGTGAACCTTTGATGCCGGCTTTGACGCTACTAAGCCGAACAGTTGCGCGTTGACTTATGTTCTTGTGAACCTGCAGCCAGCCTTTAACAAACACTTTTGGTTCAGAAGTCATCCAAGGCCATATCCAGTGCCTGAGACACCAGACCAGCTTTGGACTCTTACTTGCAAAGAAACCATCAACGCCCCAACTGTGTGTGAGTCAGTGTACCGAACACCCAGTCTATTGACAGCCAAGGAAATGGTCAACAACTTTGCTCCAACGCTGCGCGGAAGTTTTTGGGTCAGAGCAGGTGATTCAGAAACTTCGAAAACCGCCTACAATAGATTCTATTGGGCCTTGTTGATATGAGGATGTTAGGAAACTGTACAGGGTGAGTTGTTTAAGACATCCAATAAAAACTGTTCTGTCATGGGTTTTCTGTATTTAAGGACACGCCAACGTGACCTGCGCGGACCTTTTTGGGGGATGCCTTTGTATTCGGCGAGCCTGGGAACAGATTGTTGCGGCTGCCAAGTCACTGTGGGGCTTGGAGTTACAGCAAAATGTCAAATACTCTTTCACTGTTCCTTGGATTTAAGTAAACACATCTTGATACAAGTGTCACAGGCCTTCAATGATGCTAGAGGTTCCTATCTCTCTGACCTGGGGCCCAGGTGGACAACAACAGGGCCTGCATCAAGCTTAGCACACAGGAATACGACGACTGCGTCTTCACCAACATCTTTGACTTGGCCAGCGGCCCTGACGACCAGACTTGTTGGGTACCTTCAAAGATGAAGCTCCATAAACATGCCCCTTGCGCTCAACATGGGGCTTCGCGCCTTATCACAAACCTAGATGGACACTGCCCAAACCAGCTTAGATGTGCAAGATAGTTCACTTTCAAACAAACCCTCATAGTGTGTGCGTGTGTGTCCACGCGCATTATTTGAGCAATGGGTCGCCTTTGAAAAGAGGGTCCCTGCACTTTTGACTTTATCTTCCCGATGAGCCCCCCACAGCCGCTGTCATGTGAGGTGCCCTGTCACCATCAACAAGGATCTGCTGCTGCTCATTGGGGCTCCCTGCATCCTTTTCAGCAGGCAGGCTGCTCAATCCTTGTTTGGGCGATGTCAAAAGGTGAGTTTTGTGTGCAGGTATGGCTTGAAGGAAAAGTGGACCAATGTGATCAAGAAACGGGTCCATGACGCAGCTGTGAAGCTGCAACAGCGCGTCGCCGTATCCATACACGAAAACGTCGTGGGATATGAGGAGGACTGGGTGTCTTTTCCTGCTCCCTTTTTGAGCGATCCATATACGATTTCCCACCAGGATTTCTTGGACGCCTATCTCAAAAAGCACGCCCGGGAAACCGTGCAGTCTGCATCTCAATCTTTTCTAGCAACCTTGCACTCAATTTGTTCTGATGACGATGGACACACAACTCGGTGTTTTGGTGAACTTATTTTAAAGAATTTGTTCGCAATGTTTTGTGTCTTCCTGAGGCTTGATGGGAGGATGTTTGGGCATCCGCACAGCAGGGAACGTGTCTGGCGCATTTGCTATGACAAACGTTTGAAGAAGTGGAACTGTAAGTACTCGTTGGAGGAGTTGGCTAAGATTATGTTAGCCCCAGTGGACCAGCTGAAGCTGGATTATTCTGCCTACCTACTTGCTCTTCCTCAGCTCGTTGACGAAGCTGAAGTCTATGAAACGGATTTGTCAGAGTGGCTTGACCTCAATACTATTATTTTTCAACAACTCATTATCCAAAACCCTTCGCCCACTGGTTGCCAAGTGTTCCACCCTACCAGTGCTTTCCCAGCGTTGAGGTCCCAGGCCAAGCGACTGCGGGCGTTTCGCAACCTGGCACCTGAGAAGTCGGTCTATGATGTCTCGCAAGACCCAGAGTACAGGAAGAGAACCGAGAACAAAGACAAGTCTTTGCCTTGCCTCACAACCTCTTCGCAGCTGTGGCTACTCAACTCAATCCATTCCACCAACCCCCACAGCCCTCTACCAACCAAGCTCCACAAATAAAAAACCTTCCCCTTTTCCTCCAGAATTCTCGGTCTAATTGCATTGTTATCTAAGGGTGGATCCCGCCAGTCGATTGATGCTTCCCACTGAGCAATTGGCTGCGCTGGGGTATCCATGCCTCCCGG